AAAAATAGACCAAGCCTGCTATCATTTGTGGTGGGATAGAGTACGCTCAGGGTTGAACTCTAGGTTCCTCGGAGCGGCGCCTCTGCCCATATTTTCGAACCACGCCCCCTTTTTGGCCGATTTTGGTGGGAGAGACCCTGTTTCGATTAAAATAACTCGTGAAATAATCCGATTCCCGAAATGCTCTCCGGGATTCTAAAAATAGACCAAGCCTGCTATCATTTGTGGTGGGATAGAGTACGCTCAGGGTTGAACTCTAGGTTCCTCGGAGCGGCGCCTTTGCCCATATTTTCGAACCACGCCCCCTTTTTGGCCGATTTTGATGGGAGAGACCCTGTTCCGATTAAAATAACTCGCGAAATAATCCGATTCCCGAAATGCTCACCGGGATTCTAAGAATAGACCAAGCCTGCTATCATTTTTGGTGGGATAGTGTACGCTCAGGGTTGAACTCTAGGTTCCTCGGAGCGGCGCCTTTGCCCATATTTTCGAACCACGCCCCCTTTTTGGCCGATTTTGATGGGAGAGACCCTGTTCCGATTAAAATAACTCGCGAAATAATCCGATTCCCGAAATGCTCTCCGGGATTCTAAAAATAGACCAAGCCTGCTATCATTTGTGGTGGGATAGAGTACGCTCAGGGTTGAACTCTAGGTTCCTCGGAGCGGCGCCTTTGCCCATATTTTCGAACCACGCCCCCTTTTTGGCCGATTTTGGTGGGAGAGACCCTGTTTCGATTAAAATAACTCGTGAAATAATCCGATTCCCGAAATGCTCTCCGGGATTCTAAAAATAGACCAAGCCTGCTATCATTTGTGGTGGGATAGAGTACGCTCAGGGTTGAACTCTAGGTTCCTCGGAGCGGCGCCTTTGCCCATATTTTCGAACCACGCCCCCTTTTTGGCCGATTTTGATGGGAGAGACCCTGTTCCGATTAAAATACCTCGCGAAATAATCCGATTCCCGAAATGCTCTCCGGGAGTCTAAGGATAGACCAAGCCTGCTATCATTTGTGGTGGGATTGAGTACGCTCGGGGTTGAACTCTAGGTTCCTCGGAGCGGCGCCTTTGCCCATATTTTCGAACCACGCCCCCTTTTTGGCCGATTTTGATGGGAGAGACCCTGTTCCGATTAAAATAACTCGTGAAATAATCCGATTCCCGAAATGCTCTCCGGGATTCTAAAAATAGACCAAGCCTGCTATCATTTGTGGTGGGATAGAGTACGCTCAGGGTTGAACTCTAGGTTCCTCGGAGCGGCGCCTTTGCCCATATTTTCGAACCACGCCCCCTTTTTGGCCGATTTTGATGGGAGAGACCCTGTTCCGATTAAAATACCTCGCGAAATAATCCGATTCCCGAAATGCTCTCCGGGAGTCTAAGGATAGACCAAGCCTGCTATCATTTGTGGTGGGATTGAGTACGCTCGGGGTTGAACTCTAGGTTCCTCGGAGCGGCGCCTTTGCCCATATTTTCGAACCACGCCCCCTTTTTGGCCGATTTTGGTGGGAGAGACCCTGTTTCGATTAAAATAACTCGTGAAATAATCCGATTCCCGAAATGCTCTCCGGGATTCTAAAAATAGACCAAGCCTGCTATCATTTGTGGTGGGATAGAGTACGCTCAGGGTTGAACTCTAGGTTCCTCGGAGCGGCGCCTTTGCCCATATTTTCGAACCACGCCCCCTTTTTGGCCGATTTTGATGGGAGAGACCCTGTTGCGATTAAAATAACTCGCGAAATAATCCGATTCCCGAAATGCTCACCGGGATTCTAAGAATAGACCAAGCCTGCTATCATTTTTGGTGGGATAGTGTACGCTCAGGGTTGAACTCTAGGTTCCTCGGAGCGGCGCCTTTGCCCATATTTTCGAACCTCGCCCCCTTTTTGGCCGATTTTGATGGTAGAGACCCTGTTCCGATTAAAGTAACTCGCAAAATAATCTGATTCCCGAAATGCTCTCCGGGATTCTAAAAATAGACCAAGCCTGCTATCATTTGTGGTGGGATAGAGTACGCTCAGGGTTGAACTCTAGTTTCCTCGGAGGGGCGCCTTTGCCAATATTATCGAACCACGCCCCCTTTTTGACCGATTTTGATGGGAGAGACTCTGTTCCGATTAAAATAACTCGCGAAATAATCGGATTCCCGAAATGCTCTCCGGGATTCTAAGAATAGACCAAGCCTCCGTCATTTGTGGTGGGTTAGAGTACGCTCGGGGTTCAATTCTAGTTGGAAAACAGCGCGACTGGGACGAGGACACACAGAGATGAAGAGGACACAAGACAAAGCGCTGACTAGCAACTGGTTCGTTATTACAACATAACGAAGGATGACAATGAAATGAAAAACAGTTTTCATTTCATTGTCAACATTGCCTACAACATCATGAAGAGCAACAGTTTGTGTGTGAGCCAACCTTCGGTGACTATGACTAGGTAACCCAAGCTCAGGGTAACCCAAGCTCTTGAGGAAAGAACACTAGTCAACAATCGGATGGAAAAGAAAAAAAAAAAAAGAAGAAAGGGGCATATTCCACGAGGCGTCAAGCAAGCGCGCGAGCATTTGACTCCATGTGTTTCATTTCATTGTCATCCTTCCTTATGTTGTAACAACGAACCAGTTGCTAGTCAGCGCTTTGTCTTGTGTCCTCTTCATCTCTGTGTGTCCCCGTCCCAGTCGCGCTGTTTTCCAACATGAACTCTCACCAACTCGCCCAGTTATCGATCCTTTTCAATTCTAGGTTCTTCAGAGGGGCGTCTTGGCCGATATTTTCGGGCCCCGTCCCCTTTTTGACCGTCAATTCTAGCTGGGGTCGAGCGGCACCGTCGGCAGTTTTTGTTTTACACAAGCTAATGCATGGGACTCTTCGGGAAAAACTGTGAAAACTGCAATTTCCTAGTAGGCTGTTTTGGAGGATGAGAATTTTATCCTGTTTTCTGGGCATGAGAGTATATATTCTGGTCTCAAGTATCAAAAATGATAGAACACTAGTATATTTTATTAAATCCTTCGTGGTTGAGGGTCGAAGGTTGTGATTTTGTTTGGTGTAAACTGCGATGCGGTTCAAGAAGACAAGGGTGTCCGAGAGTCAATGTGGAGTCGCTCGTGATCTGGACATCATCAGAGGTTAGCAGGCGATAAGTTGGCTTTTACTGAGGACAGTAACGCGCAACGTGCTACTAAAGCACTGCGGCAATCATTGAGCTCGCGCTGAAGGCGGAGCTTCTAGTCTAATGCGAAAAAAGTATACATTAGCGATCTTTGTTGCCAGTACTGCAAGAGAAGCTGACTTGCAAAGTGACCATCTTGCGCGTGTCACGCGCGCGGAGCGTATTTGCCGAAAAAAAAAATAACGAAAGGCAACACCTCCCGCGGCTCGCGCGCATTTAAGTGGTCAATTTTAATCTCCACCGTACCTAGAAAGCGTGACAAGCTCTCACGAGGACCGCCTCAAGAAACCGTCAAACGCCCACACCATATATAGCGAACTAGGTCCCGCTAAGTTAAAAGTTACGAATGCATTGCAGAAATGCAAAATTTGACGGAAAAGGTATCGCCCACAAAATTTAGCTCACGGTTGTCACGTGACATTATCAGTGAGCTGTGACCACGTTTCTTCATCAGCATACCGTCGTCACGTGATACCAACCATTTAACAATGTCACGCTATACTACACAAGGCACGTGACTTGACACCATGGCGTGACACTAAAAATCACGATGTCAAGATACTATGACATAACTCTACATTGTGTCACGTGACGTGACGTTATGACGCGACACTGTGACATCACGTGCCCCAATCACGTGACCATCGGACATATTGTACGTATGAAAGGGTTTAGAAAATCCCATAAACAAACACCCAGCGCAGCTCATAACACGCTGCTCATTTTGTGTCTTGAGTATGCCCAAAGGATTAAGATGAATTTTAATTAATTACATTATGGTCATATTTAAATAACTCGTTGAAGAACGGCAACTCAAAAATGTGTTCACACGTTCACTTAAAAAACACATCATTATTATAGCTGCGCGGTAGAAGTCCGCGTAATAATTTTTCTTTTCGTGTGCGTGGCGTTAGTGCTGCTTGATATCTTTTTTTTTTTACCTTGATTTGAGAAATTAGATGTAATATCGTATCTTCCTTACAAAAAAATGCTTTCACGTCCTGGAGAAACGTTCATGCTCCACCGCAAAACAAATTCGTATTTCATTTATATTTTTTATTCAGGAGCCCCAGGTTCGAACCCGAGGTTCGAACCCCGGGGGTTTGGCAATTATGTGCTAGGAATGAGTGATGCACATCTATCATGCACCATTTATGGTTATATTAATTCAGTTACTTTCTTATTATGCGCGAGAAACAGCTTTTTACTGCTCAAAACAGCCCTGAATTCATTTACAAAGCCTGCCTTTTGTTCTTTTAATGACCTGGGCGCTTTGTAGAATTAACGGATTGCGAAGAAAATAGTACCATGATGTAGCTGGAGAACTGGAGCTTATATAACCGTTGAGAGCAACTCGGAATACGGAGTAGTTAGTTTATAAATAGAGTTTTAACTCAAATATTTCTCTGTAAATCACCGTACTCCCATACGTATAATGCATTTTTTTCCGATTGCCAGTTGGCTCTATTTATCTTAGACATACAGTCCTTAAATTTAGCACAATGAACAGAAAAGGTATCTATTAAAAAAGTGCGCTGAGAGCAATATAATGCACCGCTTAGAATTTCGTGAAATAAAATAAATCTAGTTCGTCCCATTGAGTTACGGGCCGTCCCGCCACCGCTGCCGATAGATGGCGCAAGTAGTGTCGGCGCGCTCCTGTCCCAAAATCCTGGGTATGCGGCCTAACACGGGAAGGTTAGAGGAAATACAGAAGTTTCCCACGACGACAAATGAAACTAAGAAGACTAATTATACTTCTATATGTGTCACCGCTTTCATAGATTCCAAACTAATCATTTTCCTGTTGCATTTCCTTTGTTCCGCCAGGGTGGTCAATACGTACTGAATCTCTTGGACACCTACTGTGCTGGCGTGTCTGCGCTCTTCATCGCAATGTGCGAAGTAATCGCACTCATGTGGCTTTACGGTGAGTAAATATGAGCACACGCTTTTCTGGACGAGGGCTTACAATTACGCTTCCAACAGTCGTTAATGGTTCTCACTATTGCAGTTTCATCGTGGAAACAAAGAAGAAGAACAAAGTTCAGTCAGAATTTATAATGGGATAAGTTTTGCGTACCCTGTAGCAGAAAGCTAAGCAAGCGTCATCTTGGATGTCTTTAATAAGTACTTTTATTGTACGAAGTAATGGCCGAATGTCTAAAAAAAAACAGGTTTTTTTTTCTTTTTAGACGCCAAAAGAGACCACGCATTGCCGAAATGCCGGTGACAGGTCCAGGATGTAGTGTTAGTGGTTGGGACCCCCGACGCCAAAATTTTATAACTTGGTGTTATCAAGTTCTAAAGTTATAAGCGATTTTGGAACATTTGTAATGAAGCAATCAGGTTCGTTCGCCCGCAGCTGACGTTATTTATCTCCGCGTATTCGTGGCTTCGTATATGCTTCGTATATATATATATATATATATATATATATATATATATATATATATATATATATATATATATATATATATATATACGGGGTGTTTTGTTTTAAGCTTAACATATTTGTTTAAAAAAAAACGTGAAAGTTAAACTTATGCCGTTTGTGGAGGTGAGATATACGGCCAGGGGGACATATTATAGGGGTCTAATCGTAACGATCAATCGACTAGTTAATTAAAATTTGTTAATTAACTTTTTAATTAATAAAAATAGACATATGGTTCCAATTAGAAACTTGCTCAGCGTCATCGAAAACCACTAAATCAGTAATTTTCAGACAGACTTTGAGCGCGTGAGAAGCGTAGTAGCGCACTAAAGTTACCACTCGTGGAGCAGGTACAAAGCTAGCGGTTGTGATAAGGCGCCCGCGCAATTTTTCCGTTTCTTATCTAGCCCCAGCCTTATAGCTGCTCCACGAGCGGTAACTTTAGTACAATACTACGGTTCTCACGCATTCAAAGTCTTTCTGAAAATTACTAATTTAGTGGTTTTCGGTGTTATGATTGGAACTATATCTCTCTTTTCACTAATTAAAAAGTTAATTAACGAATTTTAACTAATTAGGCGACCGATCGTTAAGATTAGCCCCCTAGAATATGTCCCCCTGGCCGTATAACTCATCTGCGCAGGCCGCATTAACCTAGCTTTCATGGTTTCTTTTTAAACAAATCTGTTAAGCTTAAAAAAAAACACCCTGTATATACAGGGTGTCTTTTTTTTTTTGTTTTTTTTTTAAGTTAAACAGATTTGTTTAAAAAAATCTGCGAAAGTTACATTTATACCGCTTCTGCAGATGAGCTATACGGCCAGGGGGACATATTATAGGGGGCTAATCTTAACGATTAGTCGTCTAATTCATTAAAATTCATTAATTAACTTTTTAGTTAATGAAAATAGACATATGGTTCCAATTAGAAACTTGCTCAGCGTCATCGAAAACCACTAAATCAGTCATTTTCAGAAAGACTTTCGGCGCGTGAGAAGCGTAGTAGTCTACTAAAGTTATCACTCGTGGAGCAGGTGCAAGGCTGGGGCTAGATAAGAGACGGAAAAATCGCGCGGGCGCCTTATCGCAACCGCTAGCTTTGTACCTGCTCCACAAGTGGTAACTTTAGTGCACTACGACGCTTCTCACGCGCTCAAAGTCTTTCTGAAAATTACTGATTTAGTGGTTTTCGATGACGCTGAGCAAGTTTCTAATTGGAACCATATGTCTATTTTTATTAATTAAAAAGTTAATTAACGAATTTTAGTTAATTAGTCGACTGATTGTTACGATTAGCCCCTATAATATGTCCCCCTCGCCGTATAACTCACCTCCACAAGCAGCATAAGTGTAGCTTTTAAGGCTTTTTTAAAACAAATCTGTTAAGCTTAAAAAAAACACTCTGTATATATATATATATATATATATATATATATATATATATATAATCAACGTCTTTCTTGTGTATTGCTCAGCGGACAACTTTTGATTAGTGGTAAAAAGTGACGTAAAACCGTGCTACCTTTTTTTGTTGTTATTTTGACGTATCACATGAAGTATAGATTTGAAAAAGTTCCGTTATGATTGGAACTCAATATTTAAGAACTTCACTTGGTAAGCAATTGTTTAATTGAACCTTAACTCTAAGAGATCAGTATTTTTTATTCGCTCTAGTTTTCTGAAAACTCTGAGAATGCAAGAAATGCAATCTCTAAAAAAAAAGTACTGATGTAGTAAAGATATGCCATGCCTTTATTCACGAAACTTGGTCGGCAGCATTCTCGAGATAAATAGAGATAGGGCCAAGAACAATTCTCGTTGCGTGCATTTACGGTAATTTCGTTCAATATACCGATATTGTTAAAATGGTTCTCAAATATATATATATATATATATATATGTATATGGGTGGTTTCATCTCAAATCGTGCAGGCAAAAAAGGTCGAATTTTTAATTTCGATGAAAAACATATATGTTATGGCGCCGTTTCTAAAACCGCAGTCGCCACAAATCGCAAGCTCGTCGGATTTTTTGTTCTCGACTTATGAATTTTTAAAGAGGCCGCGGCGATAAGCAGTGTTTTTCACACCCGTCGTGGGTCGGATGTTTCGCTTGATCTCCCGCCATGGATTTTCAGTCCACATTATATTAACTTTTTTCAAGTACTCTGTGTACACATTTAAAAGGCTCCAATACCATGAAATAATTTTAGGCGTTTTGGTTTTTTTCTGTAAAAATGTCAAAAAAGCCTCCTCGGTCAATTGTTGACGAACTTTGACAATTAATTACTGGCGATCTACTTGGGTTACACCAATATTTTTTATGTCCACGGAGAGCCCAAAACACGCTCTTTATATTTATTATAAAATGACTTGGCTGTATAAAATATATTTTGCGTTACATTTACGTTAATATTATGCAAAAACCAAAAAGTGCCATTTTTCAAATTGATTTTCTCAAAAAACCCATTTTTTATTTTTTTTATTTTTTGTTCAAATATAGATATGATAGTTGTCTACACGAAAATAAAGCCTAGAAAGTGTATATTTTGTTTGTATGTTTTGTATTTAGGCCTCAATATCGGAAAAAAGACGTCTTTGTTTTGCAAGACCTAAGTCAGACATAGCGACCCATGCGTCTCTATGAATTGTGAAAAAGTTTTCTTGAATTTTCTTCTGCATTTTGTAATCAATTATAAACGGATTTTATGGTATTGAATATTTATGTATGTTTTGATAAGAGCGGGAACCAGAAGATACATATCTAACGAAATCAATAACCAAAAGGCACAGACGTTGTATTGTTTCGATTTATAAACCTTTCACAGTAAACTAGCACGACTAGCTATTAGCTGTCATATTACTAAGAGAAAGAAAGTCACCACATCGTCGATATATTATATACAATTCTTTCCGAAACCAAACACTGGGGGTTTGTTCACCGCACATCGCACAGGTCACCAGGGAATGTCCTTTCACTTCCGTAATACACAAAAGTGGTGACACAGAAACGGTCCGAAACACACAGAGAGTGTGTCATGGAGAGGGGTAGGAAATAAAAATAAATAAATAGGAATTAAATTGCCCAACTCCGATCTTAACGAAAATTGCGTTAAAAAAAAATAAAGTATTTAGGTTCGAGCGGTGGCAAGACGATAGGTCCACGCCTGGTGGAGAGTCAGACAAAGAAGTCGACGGCACGTAAAGGTAAAACAAAAAAAAAATCTAAAACTTAATAAAGACGAGAAAACTCAGCCGCACATGGCAAGAACAATCACCGCCAGGATCACCGCCATGACGAAATGAACCCAACAACTGAACAGTGCTAACAAACAGTTAGTAAGAAAACATTGAAAAAAAAACAACGTTCAGAAAAAACCGCACCCGAGAAACAAAGTTCAGCGGGGCGAAGAAACACACACGAGTCGGTCCCACGACACTGAAGTCTGGCAGGATGACGGCGTCCAGATGATGCTCGAATCTGTTCCTCCCTCTATTACGCACATCCACGACGGCTGTGCGGAACAGTGGCTGTGAGAAAGAAAGTGAAGAATAGATTCGAGCAGGCGATGCGCGAGAAGGTAACCGAGACTATGACTCAAGCTTCATATCGGGAGAGGAGCTTTCGAGGTCGTTTCTGCAGTTACTCAAACTTTCTCTTTCCCCTTCCCTTTTTCAAAAGAACACGTCAGCCGGCGCTAACTTTTCATCTCGGGAGAAGCCCACTCTTCACAAACGGTTATAGTTGACAAGGAGGCTGACTTCGACCCAACTAGTCTCCGGGCAGAGTACAAACACAAGTATATTTACCAACACGCTCGTTTTAATGTCGATCTCCGGGTTTTGCTGTTTCCAAAAGAGATAACCCTTTATAAGGACAGAACGAGCGGGTTGGTGGGGATAATTAAACTTAAACAGTCCCTTCTCGTTTTCTTCGTCAAGTTTAATAGATAACCCTTCGGTGCTATCGGATCTCCCCTGAGAGAGAGAGAGAGAGCACGGCCGTTTCAAGGTAAGGATAGGGCGCTCGAAGCTAGGGGAAACAGGCGGTATCGTTTCACGCATGCACGGATGGCTGGTTTCAAATTTCCCCACATCCCTAACGAAACCGGCCCATCTTCGTGTGTGCGTCTGCGGGATTTCTGTCCCGCGCCGCCGGTTTTAGCGCGCACGCGGCGTTGTTTTGGCTGGCAGAACAGTTGTTGACCGTCGATATTGTAAGGCCGTGGTGTCCTCATCCTTTCAGGCAACGATTCCTTTGCTTTGCCTTGTGCAATACTCTGACTGACTCCTCCTGGGTGGCTGTCACTGTTCGCCGTGTCAACGACACAATCGTACCATTTCACTCCTCGTGACACAGGGTGCGCTGCTCGCTTTACTGTCACGGGCCGTCCTATCTAACACAACGAGCGCGAAAAGTCGTGGTCATCTGCTGGCTCCGAAAGGGCGGGACGTTCATGCAGGTCAATGAGGGCCCCGAATCAATACGACGTCTACCGACTCCTACACGTAAAAAATTAACGACACCTGCTGGTCTGTTAAGAAGTGTTGCTTTCTCTTTTTGGAACTCCTCCGATGTAGCTTGCCGCCTATAATAAAATTTAAATAATCAATAAATATAACAGGGTAGAAATACTGTATTTCATTTTTATGTGGGAACGTTGAAAAAAAGAAAAAAACTATTTCCAAGCTTGTGAAGACGCGCAATTCGCAAGTCTATTTCGAGCCGTAAAAACACGTTTTTGTACGATATTGATGCTTTAATATAGAACATACAAACAAAATATACACTTTCTCGACTTCATTTTCGCGCAGAAAACTATCACATCTACATTTTAACAAAAAATAAAAAAAATAAAAAATGGGTTTTTTGAGAAAATCAATTTCAAAAAAGGTACTTTTTGGTTTTCACATAATATTAACGTAAACGTAACGAAAAAAATATTTTATACAGCCGAGTTATTTTATAACACATATAAAGAACGTGTTTTGGGCTCTCCGTGGACATAAAAATTATCGATTTAACCCAAGTAGATCGCCAGTAATTAATTGTCAAACTTCATCAACAATTGACCGAGGGGGCGTATTTGACATTTTTACAAAACAAAAGCAAAACGCCTAAAATTATTTTATGCTATTGGAGCCTTTTAGATGTGTCCACAGAGTGCTTGAAAAAAGATAATATAATGTTGACTGAAAATCCAGGCCGGGAGATCAAGCGAAACATGCGACCCACGACGGGTGTGAAAAACACTGCTTCTCGCCGCGGCCTCTTTAAAAATTCACACGTCGAGAACAAAAAATCCGACGAACTTGCGGTTTGTGGCGACTGCGTTTTTAGAAACGGCGCCATAACATATATTTTTTTCATCGAAATTAAAAATTCGACCCTTTTTGCCTGCACGATTTGAGATGAAACCACCCATATATATATATATATATATATATATACGTAGACAGCTTTTAGGGCACTGACGTCCGCGTAAGCACAAGAAAAAATATGGGTGACGTAAGTGTATTCTCACATTTGTTTTTTGTACAGGGGTTAAACGGTTCTCCAACGATCTCACGTTCATGCTGGGCAAGTCTCCGCCCTGGCTGTTCAAGTTCAGCTGGGCTGTCGTGTCACCCATCGTCCTCTGCGTACGTATTATCCTGCAGAATACACGATTTTTGGTGTGTTTTTCCCCTCAGTTTTGCAGCCGCTGTATTTATATCGATCATATACGCCAGTCTGAAGCCACCGTCTCTTACTCTTCATACAGTATAAAGCAGCATCTCGTTAATTCAAACTTTCTTAATTCAAACTCACGGATAACTAGAACTAACATGCAGGTTCCATCCTAGGCGCCTCCTTAAGATACAAAAGTCACGTAGTTACCTGCAGACGCAGAACTGTCTGCGGACCACGCCTCGCGCATGTTCCAACCATGTTCATTCCATAGATATGTATATATGCTCCGAACATGCCTGAAGACAGTTTTTTGGTTGACCGATGGGCGGTACCTTTGTACGAGCAAGAGGACCCGTGTAGACGGTGTCTGCAGGAAGTGGTGTGTATGATGTATAAGCGGTGCGGCCGCGGCTCAAAGAAATATGACATGTTCGGTTGCTTACCCTAGTGCATCATTTCCTCGTGAGAAGACAAGATCGAGAGGTTTGTATTTTGTTCCATTTGAACAACTTCTCGTGGCAATGCGGACAATCTGTGTCTCAACAAGCTTACGCTGAGAAGATGTATCTGGTTTTTTTACCGCCCTAGAAAGTTGTAAATCTATGAACATCCATAAACGTATGTCGTCCTCTCAATTTATTCTAAAAAAAAAAAGAAATCTTACATTGTGCTACAGCACCAAAAAGGCTCACACTACACGCTCTACAAAACCAAAAAAGACCGGTGCATCTGTATTTCGGCAAAGCACTTCATTGAGCCAATCCTAACTATCTACGGAGGTAGCTCGGGGAATAACGACATATGTGTTCAAACCGAAACAAAAAAAAAACTGTATGCGCTGTGACATTGAGCACGATGTTTCACGTGCTTACTTCATGTTTAGTGTCTCAGTGCAGCCCGTTTTCTTCCCTAGGTGTAAAATATCTTTCAGCGTCATTCGTTACAAAGCGCCTTCCATAGATTGTAATGATTGGCTCTCAAAAGTGCTTTGCGGGAAAGCAGGCACGCCATGTTTTTTGTTTTTTTTTGCTTTTATAGTGCTGGTATCCAGTGTGCAGAATATTTGTTTCCCATGGCGCATGTCTGTACAGTGAGACGGTAAAGACACGATGCCCTTAAAAACTAGCTTTTTTTTCTTCCATTATAGTTTATGTTTAAGCCTCTGGGATATCACCGACTGTTCACCTACTAACGAAAAAAGCATGGCATCATGTCGAATAGCGACTCGCAAAGTGCTAAGAGGGCTCCTTATAACAGTTTTTATTAAATATTTTTTTTAAGAATCCTGCAATCGAATGGGGCGCACAATAATATATTGACACAGTGTGCATTAGGAAAGCATCTGCAAGCTTCATGAGCACGCAAAAGTAACGAATAGTAACCATATGTGACTGACCACACAACAAAACGAGATTATTTCAAAGGCCAGCCTGAAGACACAACAATCCTCGTAGAGACGGGAGGAATAAAGCAGGAGACCTAGTCAATACTCTTTATGTCTTTTTCTTGCCTCCGGGTCAAGTGTTTCGCAGTTTCAAGCTTCCATTGTGAAGCAATATTTTGTTTTTGAAAGCTGTTTAACTGTTCTGGCACCTCGCAGATTTTACTGGTCTACGGCGTGGTGCTCTCCAAGCCGGTGACCTACAACAACGTCGAACCTTACCCCCAGTGGGCCAACAACTTGGGCTGGTTTCTGGCTTCGCTGTCCATGATGCAAGTTCCGATCTGGGCCGCCGTGGCGCTCATTCAAAGACGGAAGGTGAGCAGACGCGATGCACGGCACGGCACTGTTCAGAATCGGCATGCATACAGCATTTCCAAGGCTGATCGTCAAAGCGCTTTGAAGCATGTGCTTGTGCAGACATAAGGGTGGTTGTGGCAACGACAAAACTGTAGCCTGTAGTCCAATGATTGTCTTAACTAGCTGTCCCTGGAGAATTCGCCGATGTTCTTATAGACAGTCAAAATCTGAAGATCTGAAGTCCTGGTCATGTTGGCATGACAAGGATCACACGTCCTTTTCTTGTGAAATATCTTAAGTGCCTATTATGTCAGAGATACTAGGTCCTCGTCACGTTAAAGTTCTTTAGTGTTTGCTTTGCCAACGCTCTTAAGTCCCTACCATCTCAGAGATCCAGACTTGGACGTAGTTCAACTACTCTACTCAAACTACTGTAGTTTAACTACTTTTTCGAGTAACTTGGTAACTTTCAATTACAACTTGATTTGAGTAATTAGTAGTTTAATTTAACTACTTTTTTCAGGTAACTTCTACTCAAATTACTAACTACTTTCGAAATTATATAGTGCTAATTTTGCCCATCACGAAAGTTTGTGCACAGAAATTAATAAGACGCCGGCATATGAAGTGGCATTCAAGAAAAAGGGGCCCCCTTGTTCGGGAGGGCGTCCTTGGGGCAAGGTGGCGACGAGCAGCCAAAACATAACACCGGCACGCACGAACAACAAGCCTTGGTCGGGTATTGACCTAATCTGGTAATGCACGCAGACGCCGCGCCTCCAGGTGCAACCGCGAAAGACGGGGACACTCCGAGAGTTGTTGTTGTTTTCGTGTTGTCTGTCTTTAGTGAGTTCTGACTGAAGCGGTAGGTTCCACGGGAGGTGCCACTGGAATGACCTCGCAGCTGGACGCCTGTTCCCATGGTCGCCTTGTCGTCAGCGCATACGCCTTTGCAAAGCCGGACTCCCCCGCGCACAAAACCTGGTACGGATAATCCGTTCATGGGAGCACGTTCGCGCTTCCAGCTGCAACTGTATACGAGCGACGATGCTTGTTCACGTAATCCTCCGCGTCCTTCCGACCATCCATGCCTGGGAGACCTCCTCTTTGTTAAAAATGATTTACTTGTGAGGCGTGTCAGGCGCGTCACAATATTGTAGTCGCCGGTGAGGATTGCGAGTTTTACCCTTGGGAGATCCTTCTGTTGGACCCGGTGTCAGCGGCGAAGTATACTTCGGTTCACCTTCTGTTAAACCAAAACAATTTTTTTTTTCAGTACCGTAGCACTAGCACTACAACGGGACGCGCAGTCGTCCGGATGATCTCATCGTCGTAGCGCGAGACTTGAACCCTTGACGGTCATGTGCACTCGCTCAGCGTACTCTCAGAACGACGTCGGAATAAAGAGGGGCCAGTCATAACAATCTCAACTTGACGGAGATGAAAGAAAAAAGGAGGAAAGTTTGTTATAAAAGACCCTCTACCCGAGGCAAACCTCACATGTTTCGTCATGGACACCTAAGATGCCGACACTCGCTTACCCGACCCTGCACAGCCTGTTTCTCAAATTCAACGCTGCCGTTCCATCCAGCCCGTCGGTGGAACGTCTATTTAGCTTGGCTCGGGACGCCTTTGGAAGGAAAAGGGGAAAACTCTCCTATCAAGAACTTTGAAAGTCAATTGCTTCTGCGAGCGGGTAAACTATTTTGGCGAAAACGCAAGCCATAAATAGACTGCATTTATTTTAGGCTCGCAGGGTTTTTCATTGATCAAAACTGCTGTTCATTTTGCTACCACGAAAATATAAAAAAGTAATTTCGAAAGTAACTTCAAAGTAACTCGCTACTTTTTACAGTAGTTAGTAGTTTACTCAATTACTATTACAAATGCGTAATTTCTACTCTACTCCAATTACTTTTGGCGTCGATACTCAGTAACTTAACTTAACTACCTTTTTTGAGTAACTTGTACATGTCTGCAGAGATCTTAGGTCCTTGTCACTTAAAAATTACTTTGTGTTTTCTATGTCAAAGTTCTTTTGTCCTTGGTCCTTGCCTTGTCAATATCTTCGGATTTACACTTTTCTTTATAACATGGAGCGATTCTGTAGGAGTATTTTGCGTTAGCCTAACTGAGCTACTAGGAAACTGAGATTGAACACGACGGCAAATAATGCCTTGGCGAGTTAGCGTCGATGCGATCGAATTCAACTGTGTTGGGTGGCCAGCCAATTTATTCTTTTGGGACGCTTGAATCCCGTCTTGGGCATACCCGTTGGTTTTGCATATTTACCCGGATGACGGTTTGTGGCATCTTAGAGAGATAAGAAGGAAACAGCACATCATTTATGACCCTGCATCTGCGCTATCTACTTCCCGGAGTCATCTGTCTGCTGCCTTGCAATATTTCTTGGTTTTTTTATCAATGCTATTATTCCAAACATAGAATATAATAGGAGTGGAACGATAATGAAGCACTAGATGCAAAAGAAACTTGCAATGTAAGCGTAAACCCGCTGCCACAACAATCCGTAAAAAGGAGCGCTGAGCTACAATGGACAGCAGTGTGTCGGCAACCATTCGCATAAAAAGCAGCACGGCAATAGCAATACATAATAAAAGACTGTCCACCTTCGGCAATATGTTTTTTTTTTCTAGATAAAATAATTTTGATCACATAAGCGCGTCCAAAAATAGCTTCAGTGAAGCCAAACTATGTGTAAGATAAAAATCCATAAAGAAAATCTTAGTTTTTATAATGGGATGATTAAATGACACTGAATAGACTGCTCAGATTTTTTTGTCAACTGTTGCCAGAGTTTATATCATAAAACAGTTTTTGTGTTAGATTTTCTGGAGTATGCAAGAACAGAACAGTACGCGTTCAGCATTTAAAATAGAAAGCACTGCTGTCCTTGACGATGTTTTAGAAACCTATCTGGGTTTGGCAGTTGGAATAATTTACGCTTAAAAATATTTGAGCACAATAATGTAAACATGTGCACCAAGTATAAGCCTCAGAGTTGCTTAAAATTAACTTCTGCAGTAGATTCAAACGAGTGGCGTAACCAAGATTTTTTTTTTTTGAGGGGGGGGGGGGAGGGGGGCTGAGGTGGCTAAGGTGGCTGAGTTGGCTGAGGTGGCTGGGATGTCCATGACTTGGGGTGCGGAGAGGGGGAGGGGTATCAAAATGCATGTGTATATTATAGGGTCGGCTGGATTTCGGGAAGGGGGGGGGGGGGCTGAAGCCCCATAAGTCCCCCCCTCCCCCTGGCTACGCCCCCGATTCAGACGCAAATTACGCATCAAGGCCCCCCTGATAAAAACATGCGGGGCGGCGCACTAAGTATATCAGCCTAGTAACTGAGAAAAAACAAAATTTGTTTTAAGCGATATAGTTTTCTTCTTTTTTTTTAGTTTGAGCATCGGCGTAATTTGTTTTCTTGGTATCGTATTGGTGCCCTCCATGCAGAACATGCTCGCGCCACTGGTAATTGAAGGAATATACCCCATGCGTCAATTTACTGCTTGTTACCACAAAAACAACGCAGTTAAAGGTACACGCTGCATGCGTATAGCCCAAACTTGATGCGCTTTGGGCTCTTGAGGGCATTTGGGATGTCTCAGATTACCAGCGGTTCGTGCGTGCTGTGCAGTGAAGGCTCAGTACGGTACCATGAAAACCTGTATGATGTGGGTGCCAGGCACGTAGCCCGGGGGGGGGGGGGGGGGGGGGGCATGGGGCGCTGCCCCCCCCCCCCCCCCCCGGGCTATGTGCCTGGCAAAATCAATTTCTGAAGCTGTGCACCCACCAGGCACGTAGCCAGGATTTTGTTTCGGGGGGAGGAGGGGAGGGGGGGGAGGGGGGGGGGGCGCCCATGACAAAATGCTGTATGAGGGGGAGGCGGGAGAGGAGGCCGCAGCGAAATGGAAGATTTTGGCGGGGGCGGGGGGGGGGGGGCTGCACCCCATGCTCCCCCCCCCCCCCACCCCCCCCTCTTCAGAAATTGATTTTCGCTTCGAACAAAATTTGCTTGAAAAGATCTTGCTTAGTTTAAAGGTTACAAGCTGGTGTATTTAATGAGCCGTCCCGCAGATTTTTTTTTAAGGTGGGCCCTGATGCTTAATTTGGGTTGGAATCTTCCGAAAATTTGAGTTTTGGGCAACTTAGAGATTTAACTTTTTGTTAAACTGTTTTGCTTTTTTTTTATTTTCAAATAACTGGAAGGAAAAATATAGCCGCAGCCCAGTCCAGCCAATTTCTTAAAATATCTTCAAGATCAACAGTGCTTCCCGTTTTAAATGCTAAACATGCCTCGTTTTGTGCTTGTTTACTCCAGAAAAATAAAACACAAGAAACTGTTACATAAAATGAACTCTGCCATCACATGAAATAACAATATCAGCAGAGTATTTAAAGGCGATTTCATTTCAATAACTTATATATGCGTATTTTGTTTCTTCAGAGTTTTTGCGTATACCTAGTTGGGCTTCACTGCAGGTATTTTAGGGAGCGCTCACGTGATCAGGAACTACTTTTTTTTTAGAAGACTAATTTGGCGAACGTCTATATAGAATTTAGCAAACAAAAACAATTCTTGATGCGACAGCATCAAGAATTGATGCTATCGCTTCAATTCACTGGCGACATAAATGGTGATAGCACCATTTATGTTGCCTATAATATAGTCAACTTTCCGGGAAATTTAGCGGAAAATTGACTTCACATGACCAATGCACCAAATCAGGTTCCCCGCTAAATTTAGCGGAATCAGGTTCCCCGCTAAATTTTGCTGTGAGCCGAACACCTACCCAGTGCCCGTGCTTTCGGATTGAAAAATAATCACCCCTGTGGTTTCTACAAAAATGCCTCTACCATAATTTTAGTTTTGTTTTGTTTTTTTAAAGAAACTGGTGGTAATCGGCATCACCGTCTCTGACGTTTGGCAGGGACTGACCACGTTGAAGATCGACAAAATTACGCCGCCTGTGTGTCTAGACGTCACCGCGTGGGGAGTCGCAGGCATTCTTTTTGTTTCTAGAGGGTTAGGGGCGGCGTGTTCGGGGAGGGAGGTGTCTGAATCGCCGATTTCGCGGTTCGTTTCTCGCAGGATCCTCTGAGCGCCTTTCGTCCGACGGACGACTGGGGTCCGGCAGAGAAGAAGCTGCTCCAGGAGTACCACGCCAGCTTGGGCGACGGGGCCCACAACGGGGTGCTCCACATACCCCTGCGACACACTAGCAACGATAAAGAAACATGAAGGAACAAACGCCGCGTGTCTTTCGTGCATATATCTTGGTGAGAGCGGTGGGCGCGTTTCTTTTTGGAACGCCCGCGCCTCCTCCAGCACGCGCGTGCTTGTTGCCTTCTGTCGTGCTCCGGTTGCGCGTGCTTGCACGAAGCTCGCGAAACGCCCACGGGCACGAACATGCGCTCTCTGACGTCACGGCACTGCGGTGGCGCTGCTGCCGGCACTGCGCATGCGCACACGCTACACCTCGAGGGAATCTGGTTTCTGCGCACGCGCAATGCCCACACTTGGTGTGGGCAAGCGCTGGCTTGTTCGTAACCGAAGTGCTGGCCTGTAGCCGGTGGCAGGCTAAGAATTCAGTGCGCGCCGCACCTCTATTTCCAACTTTCTTCCTTTGGAAGGACGTGGTCGCCCGCGCAGCCCAATCCCGGTGAAAAGAAATAAGCGCAAGTGTTCCTCGACTATCTGCGACGAGATGTTTTGGTGGCGCCCTGCTGCGGCTCCCTCTCGTGACATCATTATTCCTTGCAAACGACAAGTACGATGGTTTTTGTAGCGAGCATGCCGGAAGCTTGAGATCATTGCGCTCCGAAACCAACGCTTCCAACACCGTCCAAAGTGAGGTTCTTCCATTGCTCCTATTTCCGTCGACGAGAAATCTTTTGCTGAGGTCATATAGTTAGTATTCGGCCGATCCTGGAAGGTAGTGGAAGGTCGATCACAGCGACACTTTCGATCGCTCACGTCGCCAATGACTCTATTCGGGGATCGAACGCTTTCGAACGCGAACGCCGACAGCCAGGAAAACGAATTTGGTGCTAGCTAGAACGCGTTCAAAGAGCGAGATGGCGACGTGCGCGATCGAAAGCGTCGCTGTGGTCGGTCTTCCACGATTGGTTGAATGCTGACTATGACGCCAGCAAAACATTTCTCATCAACGGAATGGAAGAACTTCAATTTTGGCGGTGTTGGCAGTGTTGCTTTAAGAGCGCAATGATTTCAGGCTTCCACCATGCTCCTTACAAACACCATCGAACTTGTTGTTCGCAAGGTAATGACGTCACGAGAGGAAACCATAGAAGGGCACTACCAAAATATCTCGCCGCTAATACTCTGTTTCATATCAAGTCCGGACACAGCTGACGCTACGAGCTGATGGGACTAATCTGACAGCGACACAAGCACTAAACCAATCATAAACAAAAAAAAAAGGCTCAGTGGCTTGCACTTTCTACGCTGCTTTACTCCGGTGATTTTTTTGGCTACCCCAAGTAAGTATACTTTCGGAATCGCCGACCTTTACCTTTTCCAACATATCATTTAGTATCGCAAAATTGAGAACAGTCATTGTGAAATCGGCAAGTGACAATCACGCCAAAACCGTGATTCAATACCCACGCGTTTCAATGCCGTGACATCAGGGAAAGGCAGGCTTGCAGGTCGAGTGGGAAGTAAAAAAAAATGACCTATACCGAGCACTTGTTTCGTGCTGCTGCGCGGGTGCTGAAGTGAGCATCCATAGCATTTCATTTGACACCGTGAAACTGCTTGTAACCAGTTAGGAACAAAGTCTCCACTCCAAAGACTGAACCCCCGCCTCTTACTGACGTCACTTTTTCAATGTTGCAAGTAGAGACTCTCACTTTAAAGAAAACAGGGTGAGGACCAAAATGGTAAATTCAATAACTTCGCGAAAACCATTTAATTTGGCCAAATATTTGGCTTACTCTTTCAGCGATGTTTGTTTGTGTGTTTAGCTCATTTTCAGGCGTATCGGGGACTATGAAGAAAACGCCGGAGTACCCCTTACGCTGAAGCGAAGTATAGCCGGTACAGACGCTTTGTACACGCGCCAGAGTAGACAGCCGCCATTGCTGACCTTCTCTTGTCTTACTTACCCAGATGCCGAGGCACTGAAGCGGGCGATGTAGGGTGACCATCCTTGACGTTTTAAAACCTACCCGCGTCCAGCGTTTTTCAATCAGTGCTGTCACGTGATACGATCCGCCGGAGTGACTCGGATCCATTTGGGCAAGATTTGGAAGCCAAAAGCAGACAGCGTTCCCATAGATCTTTTCCTAAATTTCAAAAGCACCGAGGTGCATGCTACGAGTGTAGTTACTCGCGCTGCACCTGCTGGCGTCTGCAGTAATAACTGTTCTGAAGCAAAAAGCCTAAAACAAATTTTGCCGTGCACGCGCGTTCGTCAAAAATTTATTATGATTATTTACTTCAAATATTTTATAGGCCAGCGCGCGCGGATCATAGAATAAAGGGCCGCCCACACTAGCGAGAAAACGCGCGCGGCGCGCCGATTGCGTTGAAAACGCGTTCCGCAAAATCGGTTGAGTGGGAAGACAAAGGGCGTGTCTCTGCACGCGCTCCTGGCCCTGACTATGCTACGGCGACTTTTTGTTACTTCCCGCGATCGGCGTGCCACGCGCGTTTTCTCGCTAGTGTGGGCGGCCCTTTACACTTCCAGCGTTCTTCTCGATGTTCGGGTAATTCACTAATAGGTCAATTTTCAGTGGAGCCGAGTTACAGGTTTTTCAATTTATGAGGGTGTTATATACAGTTCTTACATGCTGGCCAACCATGCTGCCGGTATACCGCCCGCCTTTCACTGCTCACTTCTCTCTAATCGTTTCTAGGACTCAACTTCGTCGTCCTCTTTCGAACTCGGAAGGCAATTTCAACGAGGCTGGTCTTCACTTCATACAGCCAAATATTTAGAAAATTTCCAAACGAGGGTTAATTTAGTTTTACCTTGCCGATTATTTGTACCACGAGCAATAAAAATTGTTTGTTAAGCTCAAATGTATGCCGCGCTAGGTCGCGAAAACCAGGCAGCGCGCATTTCTTGGGTTGCTTTCCACGGAAGCCACGTATATTCGCTACAGCCAGTAGGTGACGCCAGCTACAACCCCATAATAAAACAAGGAGCTATCGCTCATCCAGCCCTCGTCAAACTTAGCTAGGTACTTGTAGGTACCTAGTAGATAAGGGCGGTTAACCTTTAACCGCGGTTAAAAGCTCGAAGTCGGTACCGGCTTCGAACAAACGGGCCCAGATGTTTAAGTATAAAATATTGTAATTATTTCCGAACTGCCGTGCCAATGCGAAAGATGTGCTGTAGAATTCGGGTCGAAAAAGAACATAGTGTTAGAATTTTGTGTAGCACCATGCAACTGCAAAAGGTTTGCTGTAAATTTCTTTTTTTTTTTTTTTAGTGAAGGCAGCCACACATGCAACGGTTAAAAAAGAACATAATGTTAAAAATTCGTGTCGGACCATGTTGATGGAATAATCGTGGACAGGCAACAATAACCAGAAAAAATATATACTGTTTCTTATTTCCATTTGATGCATTGAGTTCTGGTACAGTCGATTTTTATGTTTTCAACTTCGGCACATGTAATACCATCTTTGGCATTCAAAATAATCGATCACTGGTAGTGAAAATTATTTGAGCGTAATTACTGCAATACAATTAGCATTTGTATAAACAGTACGGGATAATAAATGCGTTAACAGAGCCTTGGTTCGTTGTGCGCGTCTTAATAACCCCCCCCCCCCCCCCCCCCTGCCCCGCGTGTCCCGCATTTCACTAGCAGGAAGGTAATCACCCTAGGGCGATGACGAGCCTCTACAAAGGCCTATGCTGGGGAGAAGGGCACAGTAAAATCTGAAATGGCAATAACCTGCCCCACTGTTGTCGCAATGAAGTAAACGAAACGCAGTAAGAGGAAACAAACATTGAAGGTCGGTTACGGCGGCACTCACACCAGGCACGTAGCCAGAATTTTGTTTCGGGGGGAAGGGGGGGGGGGGGGGGGGGGGGGGGGGGGTAGGCCGCCCGTGGCAAAATGCTGTATGAGAGGGAGGGGGGAAGAGGAGGTCCTAGCAAAATGGAAGATTTCGGGGGGGGGGGGGGGGGGGGGGCCGGGCCCCATGGGCGCCCCACCTCCTGGCTACGTGCCTGGCTCACGCTCAGCTGCTGCAAGGCTTGGCGCCTACCCACTCGTCATTTCAACCGCAGAGCTCGGGTGTTTCAACGTGATTTCAGATAAAGCTTCAGATAAAAGGCAACAACACGATTTCAACTTGCAGACTTGTGCGGTACTCATTGCAAGCAATCAAATTACTTCTAATTGATTTCTTTTCGGAGCAATCTTGCCATCCTCACCTTTATAAAGAAGTAATCGCAAGAGTAATCCAATTACTTTTGGATGTGCTAAAGTTACTTTAACCGTCACTACTCCCCCCCCCCCCCCCCCCCCCCAAAATCCTTGAACCAAGTCTCCAACACGAGGATGGTTTACCAACATTACTGGATTGACAAGATAGTTATCTTACAATTCGGTGATTGCAATCCAATAATCGTCTATCGAAAAATAAAGAAAACGTTTTCAAACCGACAGAAAAATCTGTCGTTTTGAAAATCTGAAGTGGTCGGAAAAGTAGTGGTTACTTTTTTTAAGGTAACGGCCGATTACTTTTCTCATCAAGTCATAGAGTAATGAATTCGCACATTTTTTAAGCAAGTGTAATCGTAATTGTAATCTACTACTTTTTTGGGGGGGTAACGTCTACATGATTCATTTGAATCCCCAAGACAGCTGAAGCGTGATTCATTGAATGGGTGTGTCCGTTAAAGAGTCCGGCTGTGGCTCGTGTTCCCACTGCAGCAGCCCATGCGGAGTGCAAGTTTGTATGCTTCTTACGCAAAGGTGCGTTGACGTCCGAATGCCGAGCTCTACTATCCTTCCAATCGCAGCCAATCAGAAGTCGTCGTTATCGCGCTTATCACCCCGGCAAAAAAAAAACAACAAAAAAACGCTGAGTCCCTAAGCTGTGTACGCAAGCGCGTTTTCTGTTAATCCTAGAAGATACTGCGCACGCTGAGCTCGCGTTTCACAGCCCAGCATACAAAAATGAAAGCGCGCAGAAGGAGAGTATGTTGGGATGTTCATAACTTCTTTTTTTTTTTTTCATTTAAGTTCAGGAAATACTGTAGGTGGCTTTTCACCATCCGAGTAGGAGAGGATTACATCAAGTTTCGAAGAGTCGACTTAAATTATATTGAAAGAAAGAATAAATCAACCCCCGCATTGGTATTTGTTTCTTGTAGTTCTAGTTCGGTTTCGCCTGACAATGCGAACAACGAGAGAAATTAGCCGACCCTGTAAAGAGAAAGAAAAATTAATGAAAACTAGACGCAGTTGGTTCGAAGTTTAAATATTTTATTTCACCCCTTCACTTACTAGCGTGACATTTGCCGTAGCCACAGACGTCAGCATCGTACGGCGGTGCAATGCAACTTGTTCCGAAGCTAATTTCCGGAAAAAGCGTGATCGCCGACAGCCGCGATTTGCCAGCGCAGCGCTGGCCAATCACCGTGGTCGGCGTTCTCGTCGACTTTCTCGCCGAGTGTCCAACTTGGAGTTCCTATAGTTTAACTGGTGGGCTGAGCTCGAGCCAGATCTTACCATCTTCGCGATTATATGGAATGGAGGGAGCCAAACTTAATATCGTGGTTCTTATTTGTCGCTGGGGCGTTTTAATGTATGCCGTTATCCCCAACTGCACACTGCTGAAGGACAGAGCAAGACGGAAGTGGGGTTTCCCCGCGTTTCTTATTGGATGAAACTGCAACGGCATTGAAAGTTAGGCCCATCAGCGTGTAGTGAAGAAAGATGAATCGCATAAATAAATTGACTTCCCCCTGCATTGGGGCGCAATGCGCGCCCCCTATAGGCGATTGGTGACATTGGGTACCTCTGAGACTTCCCCTAAATCATAATAACTAATCATAAAACTTCTGATCTCACCCTTGCGGTGATTACTATCAAGACTGCATGGTGTCAACTGTCAACATCCGCTTGCTCTACTGACGGCTAGCTCCTGGATATTTCAACTGGTAGAGGTCTCTGCTAGTCTTGAAGAAGTCCCGAGGATGGTGCGGGGCCAGGCGTATTTTCTTTTCATTAGGGCACTAGTCGCCTGGAGGTGTGGCAGTCAATTTATTTTTGCGTAAATCTTCATTTCGGGGACTTTCCCGAAATTATTATGTATTATACATGAATAAGTAAAGCGGGAATCTGCGAATACGCAACCTAAACTTAGAAATAAGACGACGCTCTGGGGCTTTGCTGTTAGCCACAAATTATGGTCTGTGCGCGGTGAGGTTTAGAGCCTGCTAACTCTCGCACGCTTTAGACAATGTAAAGTGCCGATTCACTTCTTTAATCACCAGAAAATAATGTCAACAGCTTTTACAGTAAGTAGACTTGAGTTGTAAGGAATCTTTCGTCGAAGGGAATGCCAGCAATCCCAACGTTGCATAATGATTCAATGCGGTGCTCTGTAAGAGCAGGCAACCACACGATGAAAGAATAAGTTCTGCAGCTGTCGCGACCAAACACAACGCTAATTAATTTCACGTTTCTTTAAATACAAAAATACAACTTTATAAAGCAGTTGCGTCCGCCCCTAAATTGTGCTTACGCCCCCAGGTGACGCGACAGGAAAACTGCTTGCAGCGCCGTCAGGAGAAGACAACGTAAACTGTAGAAAAGGGACAATTCAGCACAGCTCTCTTCTATAAACGCGCTGACGATATCTTATTTGGTGCACAGCACCAACACTTTAAGCCTGCTCTCTCAGAAGTATGGTAGTCATGTTGCTCTTGGGGTATCTCCGGATCACGAGCACCACAACGCCGACGGCAATGGCAGCTCCAAGCAGCAGCATCATAATGCCTAAAGCCGCCATGCTTCCTGCAAGGAAACACATAATGACGCGTGAGCCTTATATTGCTACTATGCTGCCCTGGAATGCGTCTGCGACTGCTGTATTTACCGCGTCCGCAAAAATGGTCCCTCGATTTCCACCTGCTGACGTCATAAAACTGTCATGCTCTTTATTGCCTGCCGCGATCCTGGCGGCGGCAAAGTAAAGGAGGCAGACGCGGCAGACGCCCGTTCTGCTGTAGGTCGCGCTGCAGCCAGTCGGTCGACGGAAACCAAAGCCGACACGAGATGGAACGTAGCGACGACAACGACCTTCGAGTCTGCCTTCCCTTTTTCGCCAGCATTTCTACGACTTACCGCCAGGATCGCAACGACCCACATCATGACACGCCGGCTCCTGCGTTCCGATTTGTTGCCACTTCGCTGGACCGCTTTTGGTGCACGGGTATGGATAGAGTAGAGCTGGATAGATAGCTACGGCTGAACCCTTTAGCTCGGGCGCCGGCTTGCGCCACCTAGCCAAAGTTTCTTTCGAGTTGCGAGCGACGTCTGGGAGGTTGTTTGGGAACTACAGATGAGGGAGATCCCAAAATGCCTTTGCTCGTTAGAACACATTGGCATCGTGCCGTTGTATCGGTTTTCGTTGCTTTTTATACCGCGTACTACCGTCACTCAAACAAAGAATCGCCACAAAAGATTAAATATGCGAAAAAAATAATAAGTGCTAAGAATGTTAATCATGCTGGTCTGTGCCCTCCAAAAATGGCGACAGAGGCGACGGTGGGAAGCAATGGTAGGAAAGAGGATGTGTACGTACGCGCAAAGGCTTACCGGGAAAAGGTTCGAGGCATTCCAGACACAAAGCTCCCTGCTCGCCATGACTGGTGCTTTTCTCCTCTCCCCTCATCTTTTCGTAATGCCCGAGTCCCACAAGAGCGACAAGCAAACAAGTAGAAACAGCCGACTCCGACATAGATCAAACACGTGCAACATGCACGCGATGGTATACCTTTGACATGCCTTCAGTCTCTCGCTGCTCGTGGAGCAGCACGAGTGATTGCAAGCCTGGCAAAGATACCCTCGCGTCACCCTTAAGCTGAGACTACAGCCGAAGGCTACAAGCGCAAGCTATGCTCCGTTCACCCTTAAACTAACACCAGAAGCTCCGCCTTCAGCGCGAGCTCGCCGGCTTCCCCAGGGCTTTTATTGCGCTTGCTTCCGCGTTCACACACGTGTTACCAAGGGCAGAAAGCTCTCACTGAAGGCGGAGCTTCTGGTCTCATGCAGTTTAAAGGTGAACGGAGTTAGTCCGCGCTCCTCTACTCTGCTCACCTGCAGCCAAAGGCCACAAACGCAAGCTAGCCCGCGCTCCTGGCTTTGAGACGTGCATTTCTAGCGCGAGTGCTCGTTCTGCTGAGGAACGCTTCAAAGCAGCGACCTCGAGCTCTCGTGCTTGTGGCATTGGCTGCAGTCTCATTTAAGGGTGAACGAAGTATAGTGGAGCGGGCGTAAGCGTTCGCCCCGGTAAATGGAAAGAGCGCAGAACCCAGGGTACCTGGGTATGGTGGGCTAGAAGGTAGGTGTGACAATCTTTCGCTTCGTCCAGCGGGAGAAAATGGAAAGGCTGATCAGCACGCAGCGTTAGCATCGATATGCGTGCAGCAGCGGCATAATGGCACCCCGCCGTACTGTGAACACTAAAGAATAAAAGAATGCGCTCTCTGTTATTACAATCGTGAAGTGCGCATAATGAACCTTCCCTCGAAATACAGCTCACTTAGTGCTGACCTTGTTTCTAAGCATTTCTCGATCGGTGCTAAGTATAGCCCGCTCCCATGTTAACTATGAGAAACGTTTATTGGGCAAAGGTACAACTGGCACTTACGCTAAGGTAGGGCCAGAGGTTGCAGGGATGTTGGGCTATCGGGGTAAAATCTAATTATATGTCGTCTCCCAGGCCGGTCTTCTCTAGGTATAGTGAGGACACTGCCCAAAATGATTTTTCTTCTCGCAGTCCCCGACCGGGTTGAGCCATCTTGAAGCGTGGGTGGTCGGTCTTGTTGTTTGAGTTGTTCGAGTGTTGCGTGTCTTGCCTCATCGTAGTGTTTGCACTCCCACATGAGGTGTTGGATGTCGGCAGGAGGGTGCTCCTTACAGTATTTGCACTGGTACGGCTCCGGAACAAAATCTGAATTTCGTTCCGAACATGGGAAAGTCCCATGTTCCGAATCTTTCGAGTTCTTTTGGGACACCAAAGAAATTCGCTTTTCTGCCTGGAGATCTCGAGGATACATACCCATGTCTTGCAGCCTGGAACGCAACCATCTGTTTTGTTGCTGCTTTTTAGCTATAACAAAATTGGGCACTGCAAATTAAAGGTGATCCTGCAGTGGTCTTGTGAAGCCCCTCGATGTATTTCTTCTTTCCCCTTCTATTCCCTGTGGTGCAGGGTGGCGCTGCTATCGACTTATCGATAGCTCTTTCGCAAGCGCGATCGTCACACCTCGCCCTTCTAGCCCACCATGCCCTGGGTTCTGTAGTGCCAGCTCGCGCTGCATGTGCTCCGAGCTGTGGAACCCACTCACGCGACCACTAATTTCAGATAAAGAAAAATAGCTTACCTGATGAGTGACCTTGCGGTGCAAGTTTTGCTGTAAATGTTCGAAAATACATTTTAGCACAGTAAGGAGCTCAGTGGTCGATTGCATCACGTATCACTCTTGAAACGCGGACAACGGGAGTAACGTATACTAACATCGAACACTCGAAACTACCAGACATATCCAACTCGTGAAAACTCCTTCCTGCCATTACCCAGATTCGAGTTTATTACAGATTATAACTAGGCCGTAGGTTTATCAGTGTTTAATGGTATTAATTATAACTTTTATATTATAAATCATATTATAATTTATAAAAAAAAATTATAAGGAATATCGGAAGATGTATTTCGGTGTTTACTATTTTTTTTTCAAATATCGGTGTACTTTTGGTGATTTGTTTCGGCTGGACACTAAAAATCATGACTATCGATTAAAAAATATCATGAAGAACTAAGACTAAATCTTAAAGTGGAGGGTTTCTACAAGAGCAGTCCTTACAGCAGTCAGCATTTCCGAAAAATCTGTGCTTTTTTCGGTTTTAACCAATTTTGTATTTTTGGCGCCGACTGATGTGTATCGGTGTTTTCCGGTTAAAACCGAAAAGACTACGGCCTTATTCTTACCAGTTCTTATACAGGTAATAAACAGTTCTTCTAGATAAAATAAACCAGTTCAAATTGCTGTCTCCATCGTCATCACTATGACTATATTTTTTACGCGTCCGAGAAGAATCACTTTTGAAGCTACAACACTTGAATTGCTGAATGGGAACCTGAAAGACGACTAGAAAAAATATGTCAGGTATGATGCGGGAGCTAGTGTATACTCACTCGGTGAAAGGGCACCCATGCGCCGCACTTTGAACACCGAAGGCTGTAGGGGAAAAAAAAAAAAGGCAATGGAGTTATACAGACGCGACATATCGTATTACAAATAATGTGATTAATAAATAGGGTTTCGTGTTTTCTGTAAATACCAGTTAAAACCTAAAATTACCCGTCCCCCCACCCCAAGACCGTTTTATCAAACTCGAGGAAAACTAAAAAGAGAAAAATCCCAAATAGGAGCTGCCTCTGAATAAAAAACAAAATTGTGAACGATCACACAAAGCGTGCTGCGATTGACATCCATAGCTGGGCCATATGTGTTAGAAAGTTAGCGAGAGGACCGCGCCTGCGGCGGGAAAAGCCAAAGTATGTAGGCGTGCTGTTCTGTGGAGGCGCAGAGAGCGCGCGAGAACGGAACCTGGGCGGCGGCGGTGGGGAGGCGAGGGAGCGTGTCCTCGCGTCGCCGGAGGGTACGGGGATGTGGCAGGAAAGATCGGGAGGCAGAGAGCGCTCTCGCCGTAATCAAGTGGGTTTGTCGGAACGGCGGCGGCCTACAGGGGGGAAGTCGGGGTGGAGGGGAGAGCGAGAGAGAGCCTTGCTGCAGTTGGCGTGTATGTGTGAGAAACGACGGGGAGAGCAGTGCCTCAGCTGTAGAGGGGCGTTTTGCGTTCCTACATGAGCACCTTTTGCTATGAAGGGGCACTAACAGCTGCCGCTGTAAAAAACCAAGCCTCAACGGAAAACGAGCTTTAGCTTCAGCTACATTTTGTGTTTATCCAAGAAAAACAATCCACACTAAACTCTTCGCAAGGCTGTTTTTTTTTTTGTTTTTTTTTTTCGGAAACGTTACGTACATTGTTTTGATTTTTTTTTTTGTGTGTGTGTTTTTTTTTTTTTTTTTTTGTCTTTTACAGACATTAGAACGTTTGCCATGTATTGGGTCACGCGCATATGTTCCCTCCAGGTTGGGGAATCCCATTGTCCTGTTTTCTACGCCTTCGACATAAACGCGGATAGCCGCCCACATTTTTATCCACAAAAGAAATTGTCAACTAAAAACAGCCAATCTGCGGGGAAAATAAATCCCAAACGAAACCGCTCCGAATACGAAAAAAGAAAGACCCCGAAAATACGGAACCGTATTTATAAATGACACGTAAATGTATGACAGCGCCAGCAGTATGGTGCTTCTTTTTTCTAACAGACTAAAAGACTACTAAAGCTTTATTTAGTCTGCAGAAAAAAATAAAAATAATATATAATCATATGGTACTTACTATCCCATGGTCACATCTGGAGAGCAGATCGAACGACGGCCATGTTTACAGATGTCGTAAAAGATCAGTTTATACTAAATTTTTTACACGAGGCTAATCAAATTCCTATTTTCTGATGTCACCATCATTTTTAACTTATACTTCGAAGCATAGACTACTTTGTTTAACGAAACCAAAGAATCTCGGCGAATTATTTGGCATTCACTATTCGATTTGAATTCGAAACTCGAATATTTGGACGTCTCTGGCTTTAATAAACGATAGCACAAGTAACTCACGGACACGCCGTCAACATTGAAGTTGATGGTGAAGTCGTTAGCTTCAATGCTTGCGTTCAGTCTCCGTAGGGCCTCGTCCACGGTGACGTCCTTCACCACTAGAGGAAGAGGGAAAAGTTGGTTGAAAATTCCCCATATTCCGTCCCGTTTTCCCCCATCCCTAGGGAATACTTCCCTTTTTAATACATAAGCATCAATGTACTACCAGTCAGGGGTGAATCGGTTCCATTACATATTTCTTCGTCTAACATAGAGTATAATCATGTCTGGCCGACGAGAGGGAATTAGGCTCGAGTGTAGTGCCACACGATTATCAGAAATGCACAAACATTCACAAAGACAAACATTCGTCCATGTCAGCGGAGCATGAAGGGAGTCTATACTATCTGGGCTGAAACAAAACCTGGAATGATGTCATTTTTTTCTACAAATACTGAGTGATTGCTTGAAATACACAAGTTTTCGAATGTTTTTCGTTTTTATTCTTTGCAGGAAAAATCGCAGCTTATGGCTCTAAGCCATAAGCTGCGATTCTAGTAGTATAGGGTGTCTTCAATGGACCTTGGTGATGTAAAAAAAAACGGATAGGCGTTTGCACATAGGCAACTGAAATTCTTTACCGAATGTGCCTTTTGTTGGTAGATTCTACCTTGTGAAATTTCAAGGCACTGTTCCCCTTTTGGGACCAGTGAGACCAACAAACCTGCCGAAATCAACGGCGAACGTTGACGCAGACAACCGAGTTAGCGATGGTTCTCACTTGAGACGATATGTCTTCCTATAAGTGCAGCGAGCAGACGGCGCTCTCTTTTTTCTGCTCACTACGCTTATCGTGAGACGGTGCAGCAAGTTAGAGCCATCGCTATCTCAACATGTCTACCGTTGACCCTAGCAAGCTTGTTAATCTTTTTTCTTATTATTTTTCTTTTTTACAGGAATAAGGTTAACCTTTGAATTTTCAGTAGGTCAAATGCACCACCTAACGGCACATTCAGTGAAAGTTAGAGCTTGCTTTCTGTAGGCGCCGATTTTTCCTGCTCGCTTTACAGAGCCAAGCTCCACTGCAAACACCCTATTCCATAAAAAAAGACATATAATATATATATATATATACATACAGGGTGTCACAAAAGAAAATTCACACGGTCTTTTTTACCGCAAATTTAAACTAGGCATAATGTGGCGATGCAGGCGAGTTGGTTATGCATGTTGAAAGTAGTGAAAGCGCACAATAAAGACGAATACGAAGATGGAGCGCTCGTTTTGTTTGCCTCTCCGTCTTCGTATTCGTCTTCATTGTGCGCTTTCACTACTTTAAACTAGGCATCGCCGAACGCTCATTCACCGTCCAAAGGTAGAGCTAGAGGTGCCAAAGTTTCAGCCCGATCCGATAACTTAATCAAAACTTATAACGGATTTTCTGAAAATTTCAATGGGAAAATGGCGGCCGACGGAGTTTTCAAACACATGGGGCTCTATGGCACCCGAAACCGAAAACGGCCAAAAATGGGCTCCATTTTCCCATTGAAATTTTCAGAAAGTCACTTATTAGCGGCGAGATGTTTTGGTGGCGCCCTCATATGGTTCCCTCTTGTGACGTCATTACCTCGCGAACAACAAGTTCGATGGTGTTTGTAATGAGAGTGGTGGAAGCCTGAAATCATTGCGTTCTCAAAGCAACACTGCCAACACCGTCAACATTAAAGTTCTTACATTCCTCTTGTTTACGTCGATGATAAATCCCCTTTCCGACGTCATAGTCAGCATTCAGCCAATGTTGGAAGGCCGACCTCGGCGACGCTTTCGATCGCGCGCGTTGCCAATAAAAGTAATGTCATACGAAAGAAGTTCTTTGTGACTATACTTTAATGTATCGATATTACATTTATTCTTAGTTGTTAGTTTATTATTTAACTTTTAATAGGCTATAGATTTTTATATTCAAATTTTTTTCTCGACTGATAGCTTTCCAATGTTTACGGTAATTTATGTGAGCGACCGATCTCACCAGCTAGTTTAAGAGCGCCGCCGCTGCCGCCAAGCATCGTGGGAGCTGTAGTCTTTCAGCACGCGCGACAACCCTGCTGGAGCTCTGCGCGAGCAGAGCACGGGGCGCCATGAGCTGTCTCGTGAACTGGCATCTGTCTCCTATGAACTACAGTTATGGCGGCGTCACGCATGCGTGGAATGCTTAGTGAGGTCGGTCTATTCAAAAAGTAAGCAATGAACTGCACAAAGAATGCATATTGTAAAATAAGAAATAAAGTTTAAAATAGTGTTATTTCCTCGTGCTTCAAAAACGGAATCGTCAACTAACGAAAGTAACGACAAATTAAATTACCAAGCATCTTTTGATATTACATTTTCCAGGAACTGTATATCGATAGATTACACGTCAAGTTCAGTATTCAATCACAAATGCTTCCGATTTAGTTAGAGCAAGTTGCAGTTGTCTAATATCAAGTAAAGATGACGACTCGTGTTCAAGAAAAGCTTGATTAGCATTTGTCGTCATCTGCCGCTTGGAATGTCACTTGAGAGACAGAAATGTCACCAGATGTATAGGTGTCAAATTCCTGGATGCCCTCAGTGAGCGAGCCAGAGATGTGGAAACAGCAAGCGTAGGGCTGCGAATGGGACCACAGCGGCTTGTGCACGCGTTTCACTGTAAATCGGTACGCTCGAATGAAATTGACGATGTGAAAGGGACTTTGGCGGTTGCGATTCCTTTATGTTTACAAATTCAAGGTTTTTTTATATAAGTTTTAAAAATTATTTTTGCAATCACTCTATGGCTTGTTGGAATGGTGCGACTATATGTATACATTTTTTTTTCGTGACTATCTAGGTGGCTTTTAACCCGAAATAATATTTAAAAAGATAATAGTGGCTCTGAGGCAAAGCGCTGGTCTACGGGTTTTCCCGGGTTTTAATCACGTCCGATGTTCCCGCAATCTGACGGAGGCCTATCATTGAGGAGGCACCCTACAATCGAGATTTCGGTTGCACGACAAGAGATCTCCACTTGATAAAAAAAAAATTTAACACGTTGCTTTTTTGCTTGGGCGTGCCGGTGTTACGGTGTCTGCTCCTTCAATTAAAACTTTTTTTTCCTTTCCTGCACCACAGTCTCAGGTGTACAACGACGTGATTAACTACCAGCAGCTCACCTGCGCACTTAATCTTTTCACGAGCAGGGGAAGGCAAACCAGCACTGTCAGCTAAACTCCCTGGATAAGATTCATGCTCCGCGTTTTTTACAAGCCCCAACGACGACTGTTGGCGAACGCGAGAGACCCCTACCACTAGACCACGAGCGAGACCTGCACCGCATTTTACTTTCAGGGTCCGCTCCACAACCGTTCATTTTAGTCCTGCGCCGCCATATGCTTCCAAGTGTCGAACGACGCACGGACTTGTGCACTGGCGTATTTGATGATTTGATGCCGTTTACAAGACAAACAAACACATCAAGGGGCTTTGCTGAGGGCGTCGGCGACTCGCGAGTCCCCAGGTGTGCGACATCGGGACTCGCGGGGCGCGAGGTCACGTGGCACGTTCTTACCACTGGATTGGCTGAATAGGAATAGGTCATGGCATCAGCCGTGGTCACTCTAATATTTAAAGTGAAAGCGTGTTGCGTCTCGTAGCGCGCGGCGAGACACACCACGTTGCCGTGACATCGTTACATAATGCATGCCTCGCCTTTGATTGGTTCATATTTCTCGTGTGGTGCGGCAGACAGAAATCCCACACAGACCATTCTCCGGCAAAGCGGCAAAGCTGATCTCGGCGATATCAAACAGAAGATTTGCGCTGCGAGTCGCAGTCCGTGGAAGCTCGCCATCTCGTTGGACCGATTAAAATTAAATCCAGCGAAATCTGTACCGTCCAATTTATATTCACAAATAGGCAAATACCAGGACATTTAGTCTTCCCGTCAGGATATTAAAATTACGATGAGAGACGTCCCTAGTATGTACAACCATTGATTTTGTCACATATACCTTTTAAGTCATTTTAATTTTAAAATTTCCACAAAATTAGCGCTCAACAGTCAAAACAGTCATATTAATTTATTTCATTTTAAAAATCTTTAGCGTCCTTAGGTGACAATTTAGGTGTTGTACGACCTTCATTACATCTTCATAATGAACCTCGAAAATATTAAATACTCTTGTGCATTCCTGAAACTCCGGTTTGTGTAGCGAAATTTCCCCATTGAGTGACGAACGGGTGCATCATGTATGGTAACGTTGCTCAGTGGCCAGCAAGGATCGTATGACCCTGTCGATGACGGCACTTTTTCTAGTTTTTCTCTCGCGCTCTCCTGCGCTTTCGACGCTCCTGTTAATAAGATCGAAAGAAAACTTAAGACGTATCATTTTAAGGTGCCTACATAAAAAAAAATTACATTGTCTTTTTTTTAATTTTAAATGCTTCTTCAGCTTTCCTTTAAATCGAACCACTAAATGACACACGCCCATACATCTGTGAAAGGATTCTTTTAGCAACTCCCGATTTTAGCGACGTTTCTATGCAGATTCATGTCACCTGTGTATTCCGTCTTTTCTTCGGGCAGCAGAGTCGCCAAGACATTGACGAGGTCGGAGCGTCGCGGTAACACCTGTAAATAAATCGCGTTTATGTCAATAAAATCGCTTAAAGGGGAACACCGCCGATTTTTCGATAGTCTTCGATTTGGCTAAAAATCAGCATGGATGGATGGATGGATGTTAATGGCCGTATACCCTTTGTATACCGGGTGGTAGCGTACGCCACCTATAGCTTAAGACTAAAGAAGATAAACATGTGATTCCTCCCCCCCCCCCCCTATCTAGCCAATTTGTTTCCACCGAACTATCACCAGGCAGTGTGGGATATCACCAGGATGACCTTCAAGGGATCGGGCAAAAAAAAAAACATCAACGGGTAAATGCAATACGTAACTTAGAAGACAAGTCCCGCGTTTTTGTTTCTGCCCAAAAGTCGTCCCTGGCGGATTCACGGAGCGTCGCCTAGCCCAGGTCACTGTCACCGCCAGCGAATTTTCAATTTTTGTAGCGTCTCACATCGAGCGCGACGCTATGCGGAGCGCAAGTTCGTCTGCTTCTTGCGCAAGAGTTGCGATGACGTCAGAACGACTCCGAGCTCTGATTGACTTCGATTGGAGGGATAGTATAGACCTTTTCTGCAAGTGCGCCGCCATCTTGAATTGACGTCACTTCCAGTATGGGCGAAAACATTGTTTTGCCTTTGCCACGCCAATGCAAGGCATTTAGGATATAAGCGTAACCATCACATTTTCTCGGTTTGCCTCCCCTTTCTTTTTTTACTATTTGCAGGTTGAAACTTTGGATTATTTTTTAGTCGCCCATACGGATACGCCTATTAGGTGCCTGGAGACGAGAGCACACAGAAAGGTCTATAGGTAGACCTCCGTGCCAGGTTAGAGGGGTGGGAAGAGCACTCACGGCCACGCGGGTAATACGCAGCGGCTGGGAGATGGACATCACTTCGAGAAGCCTCGCTTTCAACACTCTCGCGAACTTGTGCAAGGTTTCCCTGCCGGGGTGCACCAGGTCAGGCCCTGAAACAAAATAGTGATAAACAAATCACAAAAGAAAAACCTATTGCAGTTTTATATTGAACTTTGAATTGTCCTGTGCAGAAATTCGTTTTTCAAGAGCAACGCAGCCTTCCAAGAACGCGATACCATGGAAGCGTCGACATGTCCTCCTTCTGTACCGTTCTTTTTCTTCATTCGCGGTGATATTTTTTAAGTTTTTTGCAGCCTGGCGATGTTATATATATATATATATATATATATATATATCACAGTGTGTGTGTATGTCTGTGCGTGCGCGCGCGCGCGCGTGTGTGTGTGTGTGTGTGTGCGAGTGTGTGTGCGAGTGTGTGTGTTTGAGAGAGAGAGAGATTCTGAGATTTTGCGCGCCCCCCCCCCCCCCCTGTGTACTCGACAACATTAACCGAGAGAATGATTTGGCAGTATTTTATCCCTTAAGAAAAGCCATCAAGGAATTTCTGGAGACCTGCCTGCTTGCTCCTCGCCCTTGTCAGCCCATGGTGACGGCATGAATAAAGTAAGGTGAGTGACGTCAAATACCGAGAACTGGTTGACATCATTCTATACTCCGTTCACCCTCTGAGCTGAGACTGCAGGGAAAGCTACGTCCTCGTTGGCCCAGTCATACGCCTCTCTTTCGCCATGTCATCACGCTCCCTGCCATACCAGCCCTACCCACGCGCGGAGAGCCGGGTCAGGTGATATGAGGGAGGTGGCTGATTGGCCCGGAGGGCACGTAGCTCCCAGTGTAGTACCAGCTTAAGGGTGAACAAAGTATAGATTCTCTTCGAGAACTGGGCTGTATCAACACCACAGAGAACATTCAAAGCCCGTCGTGCGCTAGCATTTCGACGTCATCCAAGTGAGATCGAGCCAGACTTGTACGTAATTCAACTACTCTACTCAAGCTACTGTAGTCTAACAACTTTTTTGAGTAATGTAGTAACTTTAAATTACATTTTTGTTTTGGTAGTTAGTAGTTTACTCTAAATACTTTTTTGGTAACTGCCACTCAAGTAGCACATTACTTTCGTAATAGAGTATTAGGATATTTCTCATCGGTAAACGGTCGCGCACAAAAAACAATAATGAGGGTTTGCAAAAAAAAAAAAGGTAGGAATGGATTTTTTTTTTTTTTTAGTTTAGGAAGAATTATATGGTGGACAAAGGAAGCTATAATTTAGAGGGAGGATTATTAAACAGCGCTCTTCTCTGCCCCCCCCCCCCCCCCCACACACACACACACAAAGAGACAGCTCTTAAATATCTTCTAAAACAAATTTGAACCATTGCTCCTAAAATACCACATTCCCTGCATTATGAGACTTTGGGGATGAGGGTTTACGGTGATTTTATAATAAAATTTCCTATAACCTTATAGAGTAGCACTATTCGTTTAGACACCAGCTGTTCCGGTACAAGTCACAGCAGCAACGACAAAGCAGCCGTTTCGCCGTACACAGCGTGGCACGCGATCAAAGAGGTAGTAGCTCTGCCAATCTATTTGATCAAAAACAATTCCGGTGTTTTGTTCTGCAATCACCTGCTGCCTACCGGCAACCCCATATGTGAACAAGAACGATTTCCACGTCTGAAATGAGGCTGATAAAGAAAAAAAAGCACACAGCAAACTGCGATACTTAAACGTCGATTGTCCAGTGATTCCAAGTTTCATACTAGTTTTTACCTAGGTTCACATTTTTCACTTTGTGTACCGTCCGAATTATTCTTCATGAAGTACAGTCTGCAGCCAATCTGGTGCGGAAAGATCATCGACACGTACGATGGGGACGAAACGTCTTTGGACGGAATCCCTCCAACGAACTGGGCACTGCATACCCGTGATTGTAGGATGGTTTTTCAGTTCGTCCCATCGGCGTTACTGGCACAAAAACAAACACAGCGCGCAAAGCGGCAGAGTATGTCAGTCGTACCGATACGTGGCAGACATAATAGGGAGACCAAATTTCTTGCATCGTACGGCACGGATCCATCGTTGCCGCTGCCCCACAAAACAAGGGTGAGTTAAAAAAACTATGAAACATCGTATACCCGCGAGACACGACGGATAACTGTTGGAACACTTAACGACGCAGCAGATTATGCAGTCAACCAAGCGCAACCTCACCGCTTCGACTTCAATGCATACCAATGTACGCGGAGCGGTTTCGTTTCGCTCGGGTCCCCACTGCGTACCTTCGGTAACGGCCGCGCGGAGGCGCGTCGATCACATCGCATGGAGAGTATAGTAAGTTACAGCTCTAGAAGGTAGGATGAGGAAAAAGAAAGCTGGGGAGGAAAAAGAAAGGGGAAACCTCCTCCTCTGTCCAGCGTTCCGCCCGCTTCCTCCTCCCCGGCCTTTCCTTTCCCCCGCCCTACCTTCTGGAGTTGCAAAGGAGCGCTCACCTTCAATCTGCAGTGCGAGTAGTTTCGTTTCGAAGGGCTTGTAGCACGCCGAGATGTCGAAGGCGGCGAGGGAGGATTCGTTTTTTCGGAAATCGAAGATCTGGCGTGCCTGCACCCGCCTTCCAGACTGCGACAAGTTCGAATAAGATTTAATTTAAAAAAAAGCCGAATGAATGAGAGTCAACAGTGTGCCCCATTTACTAAAGCATGGAATGTTTTGACCACCTAATCTCAGAATGCATAATGTTGCTCGTCTGTCCATGAATTTTCCCGCCCAATACAGCGGAAAACCGTATCACGTGAGACTACCACGTGACCGCGCCGCGAAACTTAAATTTCTCTATTGAATTTTAGGGGGACCTTGACATCACGTGATCTGATTCCAGCTGACTTGACGTCACACAAAATTTCTCCGCTAAAATTTGTTGAAAAAAAAAGGACGTCATATATGGCCTGACGTCACCATATCACATGACCACGTTGTGTGACATCAGAACACGCGACGTCAAGTCCTCCGCTGAATTAGAACGGGGAAATTGACATCACGTCATCTGATGTCACGCGACTTGACGCAACTCAAAAGTTATGCGCTAAATTTATCGCGAAGATCGACATTCCTTCATCTTACACCACGTGATCTCAGGTCACGCAAAACTTCCCCCGCTAAAATCAGCAAAAAAAAAAAAATGAGATCATTTGACCTCAAGTCACACGACGACTTGACCCCACATGACGTCACAGCCCGTTACCCCCGTCGCTCGACGTCTGGGCATGTGCTGTCTAGTTAAATTTAGTAGGGGAATTAGTAAACAGGGTTCTTCACTCTTCACAAGACAACTGTTAAATGCCTTCTAAAGAAATTTGCACGGTTTCTCCTTTAATACTACATTCCCTGCGCTATGGAGCTTTGGAGATGAAGGTTTCCGGTAATTTAATATTAGGGACTTTTAGCAAACCGTTACCGTTTTCCGCGTAACGCACTACTCTAGCCCTTGAAGTATGCTTTTTAGCACGCTCCCCGCGGTCACGGTATCACCCGGGCGCGCCCTTAAAAGCATGCTTCGAAGGCTCTGCTAGTGGGGTAGGCGGTAACGGTTTGCTAAAAGTCTCTAACATGTCCTATAGCTTTATAGAGTAGCAAAATTCGTTGGAACACCAGCTGTTCCAGTTCAAGTTACAATTCTTGAACAAAGAAAAGAGTACGGTATTGAGAGGAACCATATCTTATTCCTGACTAAAGTCAAGAGTAGATTTGGCTTCTTAGCTGCTTGAATGAATTTTACTCATCCAGGAAACAAAATCTTTTGTCTTATCTAGACGAAATGCAACCGCATTGTATACAAGAGCTTTATAGTATACAATGCAAATGTTGTTCAGGGACACACTCGCAGTTTTTAGTATGAACAATACCAAATCCGAATCAGGCATTGAAGTCACTATTTCTTCTTTCCTCTATGTTTTTGTTTCAGCTAAATTCCTATTTAAACATTAGTATAGTTTTGACGATGCAGTTTTCGAATTATCCCATGGCTATCCAGCGTGTGGCACCGCTCAAAAACGCCCATAACCGCTTTCAAACGTAACCTCGTGACTTTAAAACTTTAGTAAAAGTTTTTTTTTTTTAAGCAATAAAATTAAGTGTGCTCATTTTCTACTTTCACGAAACAAACAGTGCGGTTAAGGTATATTTTGCTTTCAATATCTGAAGTCTCCTTTTAAAGTGCTTTTGGTAGGTTCCGTATTTTAGACGCAGCGGTCTGCACGCCTGTTGACCCAGTCTGGTAATTAGTGCGTGCACACTTAAGCCTCGTGGTCATATCATAGAAAAGCCACATATACTTTTCGCTGAATACATGACAGAATGAGCAGCCTCGAGCATGTTGGAAGAGCCGTGTTTGCTTCACATGTTTCAAACATCAGTGCATACAGTTTTTGTATGACCAAACAAGAAAGAAACAAGTCTCGGACATGGCCGTCAGACTTTCTTGTATGATATATGAGCAGTGTGACCCGTGGTTTAAAAGTGTACGCCTCATACACTATTACCAAACTAAAAAAAAACAAAGAAACTAAAAAAATTCAGCTTTTTTATTCTGGTGAAGAAGGAAGACCAGCGAACTTGTACTATAATGGGAATGAAGTAATGGCCGGCCGCAAATCGGCAAGCCAGAGTGGAAAGGCTGGAGTGGTTGCCGCCGTCACTGATAGATGGCGGCAGCTCTCCAGAGTTTAGTGTCATCATTTGTTTGCTGACAGACATGATACTGGGGAAACTAGCCCTTAACAGCTCCGCTGTTAAAATAATCTAAGCAAAATTTGAGAGGCGTTTCATAACAGTTCGAAATTGGTGTATTTAAAGTGCATTACTTCTTACCGAGGGTGTACCCTTGGAAACCGATACCTCGTCGACTTACCTGGGTTTCGTCGAAGTGCTCCATGTAGACGGGCAAGGAAGCCGCCTGCGTGTCGTCTTCACCCTGCGCGTAGAAGCAAGTTTGGAACAGTCAGTTATATAACAGGAATTCAATCGGTCATTCTCCAATCAATAATCTTTTCTTAACTGGCTGCAAACCCCAAAAAGATCTACTTGGTTGCAGCGAAAAAGTAAAAACCGCTTTTTCGGGCTTCAAACAAAAATATAATAATAAATAAACTATGCATTGCAGAAAGCTGATATTCTCCATTAGAATGTGACGCTATGGTGATAAAATGCGAATGTTTCAGTACTTGACGTTACCAAAAAAAAAATGCACTTATGAGCTTTTTTTTAAGTTTAACATTCATCAATCCCAAATGTGCGATTGTGGGCACCTATAGCAATGATTTTAGTACAAAAAAAAAAACTATCAGTAAAAAAGACAATATTGTTTCTTTCTTGCTTATGAGTAGTGTTCTTTGTTTTCCCTCTGGAATAATTGTTGTATGCTGCCGAAATCTCAAAATTTCGGTTTGATAAATATTATGCTTTCATCGATGGATATTTTTTATGCGGGCCGAAAAGTCGGCTTTTATTCTCTCAATCTAATTCGATAAAATAAAATTAGAGCAAAGATTTCCTGGTTTTTATTTTTTTTCATTTTAGTCAACAAATGTTTTTTGGTGCTTTCTTTTTAAATTTGCGGATATTCTCGGTGTTTCTTTGTTTTCAGATAACGGTCACTTGGTTATCTATTTCGAACGCGTGCTAAAAACGGTCATAGTCGGTGAAAGATGTAAACAAAATGAAAGTTCATGTCGGTGTCTTTAAACTTGAACTGAGTATGAATTTTTACACCAGTCGATCTGTATCGGTGTTTTTCGGTTGAACCAATTTTATAGCTGTGGCACAGGCGGATATTTATAGCTGTTTTTCGGTTAAAACAGAAAAGTTTACGGCTCAAACAAAATGCACCAATTCACTAATACACAAATAAAAAAAACGTCAGAACTGTCTCGCAAAGTAGCCATAAACGCGCTATGGTTTTCATTTCTGGTGACACGATTAGTATCTTTAATGGTATGCACTCGTAGTTATAATTCATTAACCAAGTGAGAAAAAATGTTAACGTGTTCATTGAACAACTTATATATAAAATGATTATTTTTGCATTAGGCTAATATCCTAGTTACACTACCACTCTTAACTGTCATTAAGCCAATGACAGTTAAATCAATCGCGATAAGGTGGAGTTACACGGCGGCGCTAACTGTCGTTAGTCGCTAATGATCACTGAGTTCAAATGAGCTGGCCTAACTCAGTAGTTAACTGACGGGGGTCCGCCTTAATAGAGCTAAAGATGGCGGCGCCCGCCGCATCGCCGCCCATGGACAGCTCCAGCGAAGTGCTTACTATCGCGGAAGATAGGGAGAGGTATGTAGAAAGTATCGTAGCAGCAAATTTTGTCGGAAGAGAAAGGATTCCGGCCAGAGCTGTTTCTAGGACAATCACGGCACTTCGCGAGAGCCAAAGCTCGGCGAGGATGGATGGATGGATGGATGCGAACGGCTCTACCGATAAGACTTTCATCATGCATCTCTTGGCGTAATTCGGGTGAAACGTTCCGACTATCGTTTTTTTTTCGCTCTAATAACAAAAAAATAAGTTCATTTTTTTTTTGTTTTAAACGTTTATAATAGATTAAAAAGTGTACATACAATTCATTCGCAACGCTTTAAAAAAAGAAGACCATGTGACATCAGTTGTGGTTTCGTTTCGGTTTCAACGGTGTGCCTTGACGCGCATTTCCAACTGGGGTTGTTAGGCCTATGTATTGTAGCACCGAACAACTCAGTTGAGCTCCATGACAGTTGGGAGATGCCGACGATCGTTAGCTTAATCACAGTTAAGAGCGCCAGTGTAACTGGGGTATTAGTCCAGTGCCTATTCGTGCTTTAGTTGTTGAGCAATGTACTTTTTAAGCAATCGCAATTGCATTTAAATAAGCGAAAGTCAGGGTTTTGTTTTTGTTATCCCAATAATCCAGTTATCTAATAAAATATATTATGGTGGAAAGTAATTGGAACCGTCACCAATTAGTTTTATTTTTGCCAACATGTACGACACCAAGGTAAAGGCTAGTAGTTAAAAACGGTTACTCCGACTTAAAGCCCGACCTACAAAAAGGTTTCCCGAAAGGTAAAAAAATCCTTCTCGCCACCCTTCCCATTTTCCCGGCTCCAACTGCTCTCTTAATGGCGGGGGCATAAGATGCAGCCTTTTGTTGCTGCATCTTAGGGCTGGACATATGACACCAAGGTAAAGGCTACTGGTTAAAAACGATTACTCCGACTTAAAGCCCGACCTACAAAAAGGTTTCCCGAAAGGTAAAAAAAATCCTATTCGCCACCCTTCCCATTTTCCCGGCTCCAACTGCTCTCTTGATGGCGGGGGCCTAAGATGCAGCCTTTTGTTGCTGCATCTTAGGGCAAGACATATGACACCAGGGTAAAGGCTAGTAGTTAAAACGATTACTCCGACTGAAAGCCCGACCTAGAAAAAGGTTTTCCGAAAGCTAAAAGAATCCTTCTCGCCACCCTTCCCATTTTCCCGGCTCCAAATGCTCTCTTGATGGCGGGGGCCTAAGATGCAACCTTTTGTTGCTGCATCTTAGGGCTGGACATACGACACCAAGGTAAAGGCTAGTGTTTAAAAACGACAACTCCGACTTAAAACCCGACCTAATAAAAGGTTTCCCGAAAGGTAAAAGAATCCTTCTCGTCACCCTTCCATTTTCCCGGCTCCAACTGCTCTCTTGATGGCGGGGGCCTAAGATGCAACCTTTTGTTGCGGCATCTTAGGGCTGGACATATGACACCAAGGTAAAGGCTAGTAGTTAAAAACGATTACTCCGACTTAAAGCCCGACCTACAAAAAGGTTTACCGACTTGTAAAAAAATCCTTCTCGCCACCCTTCCCATTTTCCCGGCTCCAACTGCTCTCTTGATGGCGGGGGCCTAAGATGCAACCTTTTGTTGCTGCATCTTAGGGCTGGACATATGACACCAAGGTAAAAGCTAGTAGTTAAAAACGACAACTCCGACTTAAAGCCCGACCTACAAAAAGGTTTCCCGAAAGGTAAAAGAATCCTTCTCGCCACCCTTCCATTTTCCCGGCTCCAACTGCTCTCTTGATGGCGGGGGCCTAAGATGCAATCTTTTGTTGCTGCATCTTAGGGCTGGACATATGACACCAAGGTAAAGGCTAGTAGTTAAAAACGATTACTCCGACTTAAAGCCCGACCTACAAAAAGGTTTCCCGAAAGGTAAAAGAATCCTTCTCGCCACCCTTCGATTTTCCCGGCTCCAAATGCTCTCTTGATGGCGTGGGCCTAAGATGCAGCCTTTTGTTGCTGCATCTTAGGGCTGGACATATGACACCAAGGTAAAGGCCAGTGTTTAAAAACGATTACTCCGACTTAAAGCCCGACCTACAAAAAGGTTTACCGAAAGCTAAAAGAATCCTTCTCGCCACCCTTCCCATTTTCCCGGCTCCAACTGCTCTCTTAATGGCGGGGGCCTAAGATGCAACCTTTTGTTGCTGCATCTTAGGGCTGGACATACGACACCAAGGTAAAGGCTAGTGTTTAAAAACGATAACTCCGACTTAAAGCCCGACCTACAAAAAGGTTTCCCGAAAGGTAAAAGAATCCTTCTCGCCACCCTTCCATTTTCCCGGCTCCAACTGCTCTCTTGATGGCGGGGGCCTAAGATGCAACCTTTTGTCGCTGCATCTTAGGGCTGGACATATGACGCTAAGGTAAAGGCTAGTGCTTAAAAAAAAGTGAAAGCCGTTTACAAATCCCTGTAACGCCGAATTGGAGCGCAGCTCTTGAGGAGGAGGAGTGAAGGGTACTGAGGGGAGGGTAGACCCCTCCTCCTCCCCTCATTCTTTAATATGCTCCGGGGGGGCGGTCACGTGACCTCGGGGGGGGGGGGTGTCACGTGACTTCGGGGAGGGGGGTCACGTGACCTCGGGGGGTCACGTGACCTCAGAGGGGTCACGTGACCTCAGAGGGGTCACGTGACCTGGGGGTCACGTGGGGGTCACCTTGGGGTCACGTGACCTTGAGATGACCTTGGGAGGGGTCACGTGACCTTGGGGAGACCACGTGACCTCGGGGGTCACGTGACCTGGGGGTCACGTGACCTCAGAGGGGTCACGTGACCTTCAAAGGGTCACGTGGGGTCTTGGGGTCACGTGACCTTGAGATGACCTTGGGAGGGGTCACGTGACCTCGAGGGGTCACGTGACCTTGGGAGTCACGTGGGGTCACGTGACCTTGAGATGACCTTGGGAGGGGTCACGTGACCTGGAGGGGTCACGTGACCTTGGGGGTCACGTGACCTTGGGATGACCTTGGTTACGCCGACGGCGACGGCGACGCCGCTCAAGCCGGGAACGGGCCCCTAAGAGCTGCGCTCTAAAACGATTACTCCGACTTAAAGCCCGACCTACAAAAAGGTTTCCCGAAAGGTAAAAAAAATCCTTCTCGCCACCCTTCCCATTTTCCCGGCTCCAACTGCTCTCTTGATGGCGGGGGCCTAAGATGCAGCCTTTTGTTGCTGCATCTTAGGGCTGGACATAAGACACCAAGGTAAAGGCTAGTAGTTAAAAACGATTACTCCGACTTAAAGCCCGACCTACAAAAAGGTTTCCCGAAAGGTAAAAGAATCCTTCTCGCCACCCTTCCCATTTTCCCGGCTCCAACTGCTTTCTTGATGGCGGGGGCCTAAGATGCAACCTTTTGTCGCTGCATCTTAGGGCTGGACATATGACGCTAAGGTAAAGGCTAGTGCTTAAAAACGATTACTCCGACTTAAAGCCCGACCTACAAAAAGGTTTCCCGAAAGGTAAAAAAAATCCTTCTCGCCACCCTTCCCATTTTCCCGGCTCCAACTGCTCTCTTGATGGCGGGGGCCTAAGATGCAACCTTTTGTCGCTGCATCTTAGGGCTGGACATATGACGCTAAGGTAAAGGCTAGTGCTTAAAAACGATTACTCCGACGTAAAGCCCGACCTACAAAAAGGTTTACCGAAATGTAAAAAAATCCTTCTCGCCACCCTTCCCATTTTCCCGGCTCCAGCTGCTCTCTTGATGGCGGGGGCCTAAGATGCAGCCTTTTGTTGCTGCATCTTAGGGCTGGACATAAGACACCAAGGTAAAGGCTAGTAGTTAAAAACGATTACTCCGACTTAAAGCCCGACCTACAAAAAGGTTTACCGACTTGTAAAAAAATCCTTCTCGCCACCCTTCCATTTTCCCGGCTCCAACTGCTCTCTTGATGGCGGGGGCCTAAGATGCAACCTTTTGTTGCTGCATCTTAGGGCTGGACATATGACACCAAGGTAAAAGCTAGTAGTTAAAAACGATAACTCCGACTTAAAGCCCGACCTACAAAAAGGTTTCCCGAAAGGTAAAAGAATCCTTCTCGCCACCCTTCCATTTTCCCGGCTCCAACTGCTCTCTTGATGGCGGGGGCCTAAGATGCAATCTTTTGTTGCTGCATCTTAGGGCTGGACATATGACACCAAGGTAAAGGCTAGTAGTTAAAAACGATTACTCCGACTTAAAGCCCGACCTACAAAAAGGTTTCCCGAAAGGTAAAAGAATCCTTCTCGCCACCCTTCGATTTTCCCGGCTCCAAATGCTCTCTTGATGGCGTGGGCCTAAGATGCAGCCTTTTGTTGCTGCATCTTAGGGCTGGACATATGACACCAAGGTAAAGGCCAGTGTTTAAAAACGATTACTCCGACTTAAAGCCCGACCTACAAAAAGGTTTACCGAAATGTAAAAAAATCCTTCTCGCCACCCTTCCCATTTTCCCGGCTCCAACTGCTCTCTTGATGGCGGGGGCCTAAGATGCAGCCTTTTGTTGCTGCATCTTAGGGCTGGACATAAGACACCAAGGTAAAGGCTAGTAGTTAAAAACGATTACTCCGACTTAAAGCCCGACCTACAAAAAGGTTTCCCGAAAGGTAAAAGAATCCTTCTCGCCACCCTTCCCATTTTCCCGGCTCCAACTGCTCTCTTGATGGCGGGGGCCTAAGATGCAACCTTTTGTCGCTGCATCTTAGGGCTGGACATATGACGCTAAGGTAAAGGCTAGTGCTTAAAAACGATTACTCCGACTTAAAGCCCGACCTACAAAAAGGTTTCCCGAAAGGTAAAAAAATCCTTCTCGCCACCCTTCCATTTTCCCGGCTCCAAATACTCTCTTGATGGCGGGGGCCTAAGATGCAAACTTTTGTTGCTGCATTTTAGGGCTGGACATATGACACCAAGGTAAAGGCTAGTAGTTAAAAACGATTACTCCGACTTAAAGCCCGACCTACAAAAAGGTTTACCGAAAGGTAAAAAATCCTTCTCGCCACCCTTCCCATTTTCCCGGCTCCAACTGATCTCTTGAAGGCGGGGGCCTAAGATGCAACCTTTTGTTGCTGCATCTTAGGGCTGGACATATGACACCAAGGTAAAGGCTAGTAGTTAAAAACGACTACTCCGACTTAAAGCCCGACCTACAAAAAGGTTTCCCGAAAGGTAAAAGAATCCTTCTCGCCACCCTTCCATTTTCCCGGCTCCAAATGCTCTCTTGATGGCGTGGGCCTAAGATGCAGCCTTTTGTTGCTGCATCTTAGGGCTGGACATATGACACTAAGGTAAAGGCTAGTGGTTAAAAACGATTACTCCGACTTAAAGCTTGACTTACAAAAAGGTTTCCCGAAAGGTAAAAGAATCCTTCTCACCACCCTTCCCATTTTCCCGGCTCCAACTGCTCTCTTGATGGCGGGGGCCTAAGATGCAGCGTTTTGTTGCTATATCTTAGGGCTGGACATTTGACACTAAGGTAAAGGCTAGTGGTTAAAAACGATTACTCCGACCTAAAGCCCGACCTACAAAAAGGTTTACCGAAAGGTAAAAGAATCCTTCTCGCCACCCTACCCCTTTCCCGGCTCAAACTGCTCTCTTGATGGCGGGAGCCTTAGATGCAGCTTTTTGTTGCTGCATCTTAGGGCTGGATAAGCCGGGATAAGCTGCCGGTCCCATGATGCAGCAACAAAAGAACACCCCCCCCCCCCCTCCCCGAGTCAAGATAGCAGTGGGAGAGGGGAAAATTAAAAAGTTGGCGAGCAGGATTTTTTTTTACCTTAGAGAAAACGATTTTGTATGTCGGCCTTTAACATAACAAAGACATAAATAAAAAAAGACGTTTCGCCACTTATGCAGGCGACATCTTCAGTAAGTAGGGTATGTTGTGGGGCTAGTTACTTCATCTTAGTAAAACATATAAAATAGCGCAAAAAAAAAGACAAGGACAAGAAGTATACAGGACAGGCGCTAACTTTCAACTAGTTTTATTCTGGAAAAGCAAACATACACGGGACAGGCAAAGCAGCACCACGTAAAAAAATTATCAACTTTTACGTGGTGCTGCTTTGCCTGCCGTGTATACTTCTTGTCCTTGTCTTTTTTTGCGCTATTTTATATGTTTTACTATCTTCAGTAAGAACAGACCCAATGAGACGAGCGCCCGCCAGCTAAAGCTCTTCTGATCTCTTACAACAAGAGAACACATGGCGCCATCTATGGGTAGTCGTGGAACACTGTGATTCCGTATATTTTGCTATTTTTCTTCTTTTGTTCCCCATTTTTTGTATTGGCTTGAAAATTTTTTTACAATGTTAAAAAACGACCTTTTCTCATTAGATAATAAACTAACATATGATCTCGCAAATACTGCAGAACCGCTCCAGCGAAGTGCAGTTCCGGGGCCCGCTCTCAGATGGCAAGTGCAGTTCCGGGGCCCGCTCTCAGATGGCGCCAGCCTGCCAGTGTACTGTCTCGTCGTAAGAGGTCACAGGAACTCGGTCGTACGCAAAAGCGGTGGTGACAGACTATGACCGACTGCGACACGGCATCGCTACGGTAGCACCCCCTTGTAAACAGTCACTGGCGGCTTAATCGTGTCGGAGTCGGTCGTACTTTAAGGGGGATAGGAAGGGGAAACTGCTTACGTAGGCGTAGTAGAGATTTGTCACTTGCGACTTGTCGGGCTGGCCGTCGACGGGATTCCTTCCAGCGAAGACAGCGCAGTCCCAAGAGCGGCAGGGCCTCTGCGATGCGTTTGAAATGTGCGTGATCAGCGAGACATGTGGGAACGAGAAGCTATACGCCAACGCACTACCGACAAAAGCGCCACCGCAGCAACGTGACGTCGGAGAATCGAGCCAATCTAGTGCCGCGTGTGTGTCACGTGATCTTCGGTAGGTGACAACGTTACTACAGGGTGTCACAAAAGAAAATTTACACGGTCTTTTTTACCGCAAAAATAAGCTAGACATCGCCAAGCGCTTTCTCCGCCCAAAGGTAGAGCTAGAGGTCACAACCTGATGCCAAGGTTTCAGCCCAATCCGATAAGTTAATCAAAAGTTATAAGTGATTTTCTGAAAATTTCAATGGGAAAATGGAGCCCATTTTTGCCCGTTTTCGGTTTCTGGTGCCATAGAGCCCCATGTGTTTGAAAACTCCGTCGGCCGCCATTTTCCCATTGGAATTTTCAGAAAATCCCTAATAACTTTTGATTAATTTATCGGATCGGGCTGACACTTTGGCATCTGGTTGTGACCTCTAGCTCTACTTATATATATATATATATATATATATATATATATTAATGTTATTTCATCCAAAATAAATAAAAAGAAAATAAATTGGGAGGTACTGCAATATCGGGACTAATGCGGGGAGCAACTAATCAAGCTGCTTCTTGCACAACGGTTGCGATGACGTCAGAACGACGTCATCGCTTTCTGACATCCTCGCAACCCCTGTGCAAGAAGCAGACGAACTTGCGCTCCTCATACCTTTCGCTAATACCACGGGAATCTGAGAACTGTCCGACAAACTTGGTCGTAATATGGTTGAGACAAATGCTTGACACAACCGACTAACCCGTCGACAATGCGTCAGAAATATAGTAGGTGGGATCATGATCATGATCCCACCTACCATATTTCTGACGTGATCATGATCATGGTCCCACAGAAATCATGATCATGATCAGTTTAACGCGGTGCGCTCAGTTTCCGCGCGTCGCTCGATTTCGTCGTCTCTCGAACCATGGCAGGTTCGTGACCACTAACGCTAATGTCATGCGTAGGACTTGTCTTTTTATAATTGGTACTGACACAACTATGCGCAGCAGATTCCTGGTCATTTTATGAAGACGTACCATGCCGGTTTTCTGGAAGACGCTTGTCTTGTCCATTCCCCACAACACGTACTGGTCGGAGGGGAAAGCGACTTCCTCTTGGACCATAACGTCACGGGAACAGGTGTAGGTGTCGGGAAAGACAACGTACTTGTTGCCTGAAACATTTTAGAATCATTGAACGCTTCGTAAATTCTAGGCGGTTAAGAAAGAGAGTGATCGCATTTCTCAAATCGGTGGGAGAAACTCTTCAAGCTCCCGAAGACCACCACATAGTTTGCCGTCCAGTAGTACACCGTCTGTGCTGACTTTTTTTCTTTTTAGTAGTTCTCAATTTGTGTAATTTGTGCAGCCTTACCAGTCGTGTAGTCGTAGACCGTCCGCTCCCGCAGCTGGTCGGCACTCAGGGAGTACTTTTCACGAGCCACGAGAAGGCTGTTGTAGTCGTACCACACCTGGGGCCGAGAACCGAGCAGTTGGTCAAACTTCCTCCAAATATTCTATAGTCGGTGACAGGCTGAAAATGCCGCATAATCTCCGCCCCGAGAACGCACTCGTTGGTTTCCGTCGGGCTGTGGCTACGCGTGCGACAAAGTATTATCAAAGACAGAAAGTTCTCGCTGGAGGTGAAGCCTCTACTGTGTTCTTAACACTGTCACCAACTCTAGTTTTCTTAGCGATTCCCTCCATGGCGTTGTCAATTAAAGACGCAACATAACTCGCACGTATGTTATTGATCTTCTTTTAGTTTATTTAAGAACATTGCGTAGACATCTTATGTGAAGTACCGTCCGTAATCAAAGCGACAGAACATTTAAAGACTAGAAAATTAAAACGAACTGAAGACGCGACAAATTTTAACCGCGTTGATTTAAATAATTTACCCAACTATTAATGAATCTCAGAAATCGCTTTCGCGAGGCACGTCACTGTAGTACACCACAAAAGGGCGGACGCATTGTACAGGATGGCCGCCCAAAAATGTACCGGGCTTTTCTTTCACCGCAAAAATAAACCACGTGCCGCCGAGCGCTCTCATTCTCCGTCCGAATGCGACGCTAGAGATCCGAACAAGGTGCCGAAGTTTCACAACTAATCGTTTTGTCATTCAAATGTTCTAGGTGATTCTTTTTTTGTTTTATGTTTTTCATAGAAAAATGGCCGCCGACGGAGCTCTCGAATACGTGCAGCTGAATGTCGCCAGTTACCAAAAACGGGCCAAAGTGGGCCCCATTTTTCCGTTAAAATTTTCAGAAAATCACTCATGATGTTTGAGAGAGATAGTTCTGGGGGCTCTGGCATCTGGTTGGGACCGCTCGCGCTACATCTGGGCGGAGAATGAGCGCGACGCGTATTTTATCTTGATGGTTTGTTGTTTATTGTATATAGTGTAAATGATTTTTTAACACCCTGTAATTAATTTTTTTTTTGCTTTTTTTAATGCAAAATATAGAGGTAAAGTTAGAATAAATGTATTTTCTCCTTAATTTTTCGGTAATTTGAGTATTTCGCGCTAAGTACCCTTAAGGCCCTTAAGGAATTAGTCCTTAAGGGCCTTAAGGACTAATTCATGTGGGGAGCCGATCAACAGTTTCTAGCAAGGCCGGTGTGCCGAGGTGTTTACTCGCAGCTCGCGTTCTCGCTGATTGAACACGACCCACAGTCGAACGGTGACGCGGCACCAATCTCCGATTCGCACCCCGCGCTGGCCTTCTGTTGGTGACGTAAACATCTCGGTACACCGGCCTTGCTATATAGCATCTCTTGAGCCCAATGCGGAACCCTCTCCTCCTTTATCTTTTTTTTTTTTTTTTTACATTTGATTTTTGCCTGGGAAAAGAAAACGCTTAGTATACAGTACTTTCATCGTAGAAAACTGAGGATAGGCCGGTATCGGTCTTTTCAAAAGAAAAGAACACTCTAAAAAAAAAAGGGTGTCAAAAGGTGTATTCTTACACCCATTGCCCCATATAATACACCCCCAAACTTAAATTCGACGTACAGCGCCCTACATTCAAACAGACGGCCAGATATTTTACGAGGGCCTTGATAGCCGTGTGGTACAACTTATTAAAGTAGCTAATGTACGTTTTACTGACAACAAGAAAAATAAACGGGGTTTTCTTGGCCCTACTGTAAAAACGCGGTGTTTTCTTCATGTCGTCTTTGATACGTAATTTAGCTATTTAAAATATTGTACCACACGGCTATCAAGCCCCTTGTAAAATTTCGGGCCGTCTGTTCGACTGTAGGGCGGTGTACGTGGAATTGAAGTTTGGGGGTGTATTATATGGGACAAAGGGTGTAACGATACACCTTTCGACACCCTTTTTTCTTGAGAGTGAAAGAAGTCTTATGCTGCATTTAAAAGCAGTACTTATGCTTCCTTTAATTGCGCGCGCACCGGGCTGCGGTGCGGTGGCCAAGTGCCTTACCGCACCACAGCCCGGTGCGCGTACAGCGAAAGCCTGGGATCCTGGGATCGAACCCAGCCAGCAGAACTTTGGGATCCTGGGATCGAACCCAGGATCCCAGGGTTCTGCACCGCGTTAACACACCCGGCACCGACCCCCCTAAAAGCCCGTCAAGCAACATTGTCGATAACCATTTCTTGGGCTAGGCGACGCAAGCTACCGTCTGTTACATTTATCCATTGGCGACGAAGCGTGCTTTTGTATGCGGACGGTTTGCTGAACGCTAACGCAGCCCTTGTGTCTAAAGGTGTCGCGAAATTTTGTCGAACCGGATTTTTAGGTCTAACTTTCGGGGTTCGACTGCTTCGAACCGGTTCGACGAACCTTCGAACTTTTGACCAGATTCGACCGGTTCGACTCTGTGGACAGTGCGGCCACACTTTGATACAAGTATGTCTAGGTTAGTATATTTTTTTTATGGAAAGGGTTATTTTATTGTTATAAACAGTTGCAATCAAAAGAAACTAATTCTAATCACAGAAGTTAATAACTTAATTTTTGTAGTGTATTAATTGAAATAACCAATCAGTGCTGCCCTTAATTCGTCCCTTAGCCATCACCGTCCAATCCGAAGCCAACTGGCCAGCATGTCGCTCATGCGCATGCGCATAGCAGTCGAACCTGAGTGGAACCTTTGTCGAACTTTTCACAAGAAGTTCGAAAATGTCGAACCTGGTCGAACTCGAGACTCGGCCGGATCGCGACACTCCTACTTTGTCTAATACCGAATCGGAGCACGTGACCAAGTAATGGCGGAGTCGGACCGTTGCCTCGGAATCTACTATACATGGCGCACTATTGGGAAGCCTTCCCCTTCGAAAGATTTTAGCCTATACGCCAACAGGTTGCTTTGTAGTCGCCAGAGCGGCTGAAAAAAATATATAGCGATCGACTTTGCGAAATAAACTGGACCGAAGATGCACGTTTCGGTAGGACCAACTCACCCGTGTCCTTTCGACTTCTTGATAGCCGTCAGTCCAAGTTTCGGCGGAGAAACTGAACAAGGTTGGCAACTTGGGCAGCGGAGTCCGGCTTGCCCCTTCGCAGAAGAAGCCTACGGGTTCCTGTTGCATCAAAACAGACGACTCGATAAATCTTAGGGTATGAAAATCAACCTACTGGGACTTTCGAAAAGTCGGTGCCATGATTGAGCAGTCCGTGAATCCACAGACAGTCACAGCGAAAGTACCCTAATGCACGTCCTTGTGCGTCTCGCACTCGCTTATACCTTGCGCCTTACGTGGAGGAACCTTCGCCAATCACCTATCGAAGATTGACACGCTCGTTTGTTTTACTCGCGCAGAAGCCCTCAAACAAAAGCAGAGCGAGACTAGAAAGCCTCAAGTAAATGTCTGTTCAACCCAAACCATGGAGAGCCTATGTAATGTAATGGCCTCTTTAAAGGGCCTCTGACACGCCGACAAGATTCAAAGTGCCCGCCATTGCCCTGTGACGTAACAGTGTGCCGTAAGGTGTCGGGGCGGTCAGAAGGGAGGCATCGACCTACGTCACTAAATTGTGTTCGCCGGATGTCACGTGAGTGTTACTCCTCGTGCTCCCCACGACCGTGCCTAAGACTTTTTTTTTTCTTGTCCACGAGCGATTGTAGAAAACAAAGTTTCAGTTTCACTAGCTTTTTATCACTGCACCGTTGGTTAGTTTGCCCGCTGTGAAAGTTGAGGACGAAGAGTCAGTAGATCGACGTGATGGAGGTCAATGATGAAAGCGTTGCGAGTACAAGCCAGTGTACGAGTGCATGCCATCCGTCCGATAATACAGAGCCATACTGAGCACAAAACAAGCTATCAAGATTAAAAAAAAAAAAAAAATTAGAATGCTTGCAGAAATTAGGATGTGTAGCACACGACACGCCCGATCGCACTGCTGAAGGTTCAGATACCGAGGTCGTCGAATCATCTGATACTCTTCAGGCTGAAGATGTTTGCCGTCTAGAGAATACGAACTGGTGAGTGTACCAAGTACAAGTAAACGTCGAGCATAAAGTACGTGTTTTGTCTAGAACAGGAGCAGAGCATGTTTACTAAGTTCACTGACTTTTCTTCTTCTACCGTTACAGCAACATTAGGCGACAAAAAGCAAATAAAAGAAACCTTGTACGCTTGAATTGCTCGCGGAGGTACGGAGAATACCAAAAGAAAAAATATAAAAAAAGATATTACACGCGGTCGCGGTAAGCAGGAGGAGTGAAAGAACTATGGTGCCTGGAACGCGTCTCCGACTGGTGTGTTTACCGGGTTCAAAAAAGTGGCCCCTCGATTTCCGCCTGATGACGTCATAAAAGTGTCATGCTGTCGCCTGTTGTGACCCTGGCGGCGCCCCAACAGTTGTGTATAAATGCCAGACGCCTGTTCTGCTGCAGGTCGCTTTCCACTGTGACAGTTCACGGAAGCTGGAGCAGCCGGAAGTTGGGACGCCTAAAGGGACGCCGTGACGACAGCGACACTTGCGTTCGCTCGTGCTTTTCGCTAGCATTTCTACGGCTAACCGCCAGGATCGCGACAGGCAACAGCATGACACTCGCGTCATTTGTTGCCACATTGGGACCACTTTTGATGTATGGGCGGGATAGGACGCTAAGCACACCAGTCGAAGACGCGATCCAGGCACCATAATAGAACTCACGAGACTTCCGGCGATGCCTCCCTTCTGACCGCCCCGACATCTTGCGGTACATTGTTACGTCAGAGGGAATTGCCGCGAACTTTGAAATGGCTTCGTATTTTTATTTTTGTTTATGAAAAAAATAGTACGCAGCTTTAAAGTGAAACATTTCTTTGGTGATATCCTGTTACATTATTTTAACGCCTAGCATAAAAAAAATATATCTGGGGGGGGGGGGGGGGGGGGGGGCGTGTCAGAGGCCCTTTAATTGTGGCGGATTATCCCCTCTTTCGAGTTTAAAAAATACTTATCCTATCGAAGCATAAATGGCGTCCAAAGAAAAGTGAAACTTTATTTTAGGGTAAAATATTCAAGCAACTCCAGGGCTGTTTATAACCGGAGTTACGTTGAAAAACCACCCGCCCTATATATCCTCAGCACAATTTTGTAATCTAATGGCGCCTACAAACACGTAACCCCGGGCAAACAATTGAACACACTCTTACTTGAGGCTCTATATGCGATATTATTGCTACTGCTGCCGTCTAGTGGGCGCTGCGCGAGACTCATGTCCTGAACACATGCGGTTCATTAGACGGTGCGTTAGGGCAGCTGGTGTAGCTCATCACGCAATGAAGAACGAAGAAATCAGCTGGCGTGGTTCCAAAGCAACGAGACAATATTAAGCAAATCACTATAAAAAGTGCTAAAAATGTTTTTGTCTTTTTTTTTTAAGTGAGAACAAATTGTTTGGTTTTACATTTGTTGCTTATCCATGCGATTAAAAAAAAACAGCTGGCGCGGCTCTGTGGTAGCGCACTCTTTTCACAATCAACGGTCCCGGTATGCAATCCTAAAAAAAAAAAAAAAAAAAAACGCGGCAAGTTTCGGGGATTTTTTTTTTCATGCATTTGGTGACATAGATGACATAGATGACGAATGCCCTTACCTACACTAACAGCATTTTCAGTGGTATATAGATATAAGAACCCATAACAGCCAGCGCTGCAAAACATAGATATTTTTTTTTTTTTTTTTTTTTTTTTTTTTTGTGGTCTGCACTTGCCTCAAAAATGCTGTAGTCCAGGTACTCCGTGTAGTCCGAGAACAGGTAGTTGATCTCCTTGCCCTCGCAGTCGATCCTGGAGTCCATTGGCACCGGTGGGCAGGCGCCGTGGTTCTCGTTCTTGCGGTCGCACAGTGGAGTTACAGTGCCGTTCTCTGCCCCACGCAGGCAGAACCAGGAGCCGAGTCACGCCGGTGCACACACAACGTTCGTTGGAGAACAATTAAGTTCTCAGAAGTCGCGCTGGGCGCATACCGTCAGTCGGAACACCAACCATTCGTCTTCCGTTAACCGGCTCGGCCACGGGACAAGCACAGGACAACTACAAAAGTGGTTGTCCTGTGCTTGTCCTCTGTGTTTTATTCTTTCAATTTTATGCAACAGGGAGTTTTAGTAGATCGTTCTACTTCCGATAACAACACCCGATAGTCTACCGACGCCTTTGCGCACGCATCGAATCGTTATCGAGTATCGTTATGGGCGGCATCGAAACGGTTCACTAAAACTCTAATGAGAAGGCCGATTGGTATCGCATGCTTTGAGGGAGACGTAGCCTCAGTGGCGAAAAGGGGTGGAACACCTTTTTTGCTACAAAAGCTAATGACCGTAGGAGGGAGATAGCCATCGGACTTTGTTGCTTAAAGTGAGACAAACGATTGGTTGTTCGATTGTATGAGGAAGAACTCGCAGGGACTGAGAGTCTGGTCTGTTGCAACATAAGAACTGCACTTGAAACAAGAAGTAGGCGACCTCGCTTTCCTGCAAAACACGGAGACTGTCGATAACGGTGAACGTATTGCCTTAAATTGTTTTATCATGAATAAAAAAGAACGATCTAGACTCTTCTTATCCTCACCTAGATTACATAAAACTGGAAAAAAATCGGTCACCCCATAAAAGAACCTTGCGATTCAAATATCTAAAAACACGTATTATCACGCGTAACTTATCGCGCTTCCTCTCTCACAGGCACGCACGTATGACACGGCCTTTTATTCGTTATTTTGTCCTACGCATAAAAAAATAACGCGTTTAGAGACAGGAACCGGGCGATTATAGCCATTCAACAGCCGTTTTGCATGTGTCTGCGGGGTGGGCGAGTTTGGACAGCAACGGTATTATAAATAGGCCTAAGAAAGCTTGGCCCCAATGAAAAGCCACTGGCGAGACAAGAAGCGTACGCAACGTCAGTTTACAGCATCTCCGTACTCTAGGCACTCACCGCTCCAAATGCTGACCAAGCCGCAGTGGTTGACCTGGTTGTCAATTGTTACCGTCACCTCCGTCTTCCATTCGTTCGCTTGAATAGGGGATTCTGTCATCGACCTCTGGAAGATGCATCCACAGTCTTAACGGAAAGTTTCTCCTACACAAGGGACTATCAGTGAGTGCACATGTGACTTTAGTGCCTGTGATCCAGTGACATATAGTCCATGCTAATGTGAGACGAAGCGCTGGTGAATGCTCAGGCGAAAAGCGCGAAGCGCGCGCTCCCAAGCCCGAGCTTGGGAGAGCGAGTACCGAGCGGCTGTGATTGCGTCGGCACCCTGCCTCTGCCCTCTCTTCGGCGCGTCCTAACCGCGACACCCAATCGTAGTTTGGAGGCGATGGCCGGAATACGCAACATAGCCGGCAATCCGCGAGGAGTCGGTGCGCTGGCGATTCGAGCGGCGGGTTGGTTCGGAGGTCAATTTTGGGCGGGTAATAAGACAAAACAGATTGTTTTCATTCTAGAATGCGCAGCCAACATCGCCGCCTGCTGCGATTGGTTAGCGGTGTGGCTCTGACCAACCACTGCAGGCGGCGCAGTACCGGTCCCGGTTGGTCCCGCCGTGTAGATTAGGGCCCCCGGTGTCGTCTTTTTGTGTAAAAAGTCGTGTCATTTTTGCGAGGACCATTACCTTGTCGCCCACAAAGCGGATGAGAGAATTAGGTTCATCGAATATCTTCTTGCCGTCCGAACTCTTGAAGGCCACCGGGAAGAAGGGATCCAATTTCTCAGACTCCGGGATCCCCTTGATTGTCTTGCAGGTTCTGGCTTGTCCTGCAAACAATTGACGGAGAAGGTGAAACAAGGACTAGAAGATCCAGGCACCTTGGAGCCTGGGTTTTTATAGTCTTTAAAAAATTACAAATCAGAAAGATGGTTGAGAAAAAAATATTTTCGGGTACAAACTGCGGGTTACGACAAACATCGGGGATAGCAAAAAAAAATATATTAGCTAAATAATTACCTAAAATTTACTACGTTTCCGCTCGTGCAGAAAGCACAAAGCTGGCAATGTGAAAACGCGGATAGTATTCTCATCATCCCTGTTTATGCATCACCAGCCCGCGACATACTAAAACGCACCCATAAGGATGCAAAAACAAAATGCTCCGTGCCTTTCGTACTTACCGTTGGTCATGATCATGAGGTCATTGTCGAAGTCGTACGTCTTGGTGTCCGTGTACCCCGATGTCGTTTTGGCGACGTACAGGCGGTTGCCAAGGCCAGCGCCGAACCTGCTGTAGGCAATCGTGCAGGAGTATATATTTTTGTCGAACCACGCGCTGAGCACCACGTTCATCTTGAAGTCGCTGGGTAGCTCTGGCGGGTCTGACGCGCCTGCAAAGAACGAACGAAGAAGAGGTCGATTTATCGGGCGCAGCAACGAATCGCTGGACCTGGGCGTTCTGGGCGGCCATCACGTTAAAAACACCGAAGTGTCCCTATCACCAGTCATCGACCGCCGTATGATTTCCCCACTATACCGAGACTGGTGTGTTGTTCTCTACGGCCATACCTCTGGAGGAGTCACGATCGCGGTTTGGAACGTTGAGACAAGGCGATTTGCGTGCTTAGCAGCCCTCACCATTCGCAACTTTGAATTGCTGTCATCTAAATGGTCGTCATCGAACAGCTGAACGAGGTTCGGTCTGTGGTGCAAACAGTTCTAGTTTTGTAAAGTACGTATACACGAGTGATATGAGAGTTTTTAGAGTATTCGACCGGTTTTTACCTGTCCTAATTTTGTGCAAAACTAAAGGAGAAAAAGCAGATGAGAATCGATTAGTAAGAAAGGCAAGAATAGAAATGGAAGTGAAGAAGGCGGAATTCTGTGCCGAGATATGAATCGTTAGAAGCCATTTTATTCTGCACATTGCCCGAAACTCACGAACGTTGCATTTAACGGCGCGGTCGCATTTCAAATAATTCTTCGATCCTAAGTTGTCTTTTTTTTTTTTATATATATATATAAGGTTACCTTAAAGGCTGGTTCAGACAGCACCGTTTTATTTCGTTTTCGCTTCACACAGGGGCGTCTGCTTACGATTTCTTACGTTACGTGAGGAGTTACCGGGACATCCGTGTTTCGTATGTCGCGTGCAAAGCTGCTCCTTGAACCGATCGCCGCGCTCCGTTTGAAGCACGGATGACTCGCGGCCACGGTGTAAGATACACTCTTTTGGGTGAGGACACGGCGGTGCTGAACGCGCGGCGCGAGGAGTCAGATAGTGTTCGTTCGACGGGCATCCGAAAGGCTGCATTATTCCGCGGCCACCGTGCCCGCGGCTGACAGTGTCGCCGGCGGCCAAACGGCGAAACTGTGTGAGAGCGAAAAAAATGATCTCGTTGGCATTAGGTACACCGTGGTCTTTCTGCACAAGCGACAACCTCGCTGGAACTCTGCGCGTGTGGAGCATGAGGCGGCGCGGGCCGTCTTTGCCGTGCCCACGGGTCGACGCCGGCGCTGCTTGAAACCATAGTAAGAGAGAGAGAAAGGGAGAGAGTGAAGAGCGAACTTTATCGGGCACGTCGCGAGGAGCGCGCTGTCCTCACCTGAAGAGTATTATTATCTATTCGCGTTTTAAGGCCGTTACGAGGAACATGACCCTTTATTCCAAACACTTTAAAAAGACAGAATACCCGTACTTGCTTTTACGTAATTACAAAGCAAATAAAGAGATGCCCGCAGCATTTTAAGTGCGTCTGTTTTAGCCAGCGGTTTGTGACGAGAGCTTAGAACGGGCAGTTGTGACCAAAGGGGCCGCAATGTTCAAATAACACGGTGCAAAAAAATGTACGGTATTTTAAAAGATTTATTTTTGACAGAAAAATAAATAAAACCCCTAAACACGCCGATTATGTTAATAGGCAGTTTTAGCATAGCATACGACACCCCTAAACTTCAGTTGGTCGTACAGCGCACCGACGTTCAACCGACGCTACCAACATTCACGACCGGCTTGATAGCCGAGTTATACAACTTATAAAAATAGCTTAAGTAGGTGTAAATGACTGTAAAAAAAAAAAAAAAAGTTATCATAGTTTTCTTGGCCCTGCTGCAAAACCTCGGTGTTTTTTTGTTTTTTTTTCTGTACCTTTTGATGCGTATTTTAGCTATTTAATATCATACATCGCACCGTCATCAACCCTCTCGTAAAAGCTGGGGCCGTCAATTTGACTTCAGTGCGCTGCAAGGCGAACTGAAGTTTCGAGGTGTCGTATATATAAAAGTAAACGTAAAAACTACAACTTTTTTTTTTTTTCTTTTTTTGAGTGGTGAGCACGGCAACGATCCTGGCGCGCGCTGAAAATGGCGCTTCAAAGGCGCAGCGCGAGCTTCCGGTTGTAATGCTACACCGCACGGTAGCCTGCGGTAATGAACGTTTTATCAATAACCATAGAGCAGTTTGATTACGTGTTGCAATACACTAACGCCGAGACGGTGAGCAGCAATTTGAGAGGCTGTGACTTGAAGACACGAATACTGTGAACGCTGTTCTTCCGAAGCTTGATGGTCACCGTCCGCGGCTCACTTTTTAGAGCACTAATGGCCAGGCAAACCACAAACATGATATCTTCATCACCCTCAAAAATATTCTGATACAAATAGTGACGTGGTTGGTGCCTAAAACGCGCTCGCCCATACACAACGCTTCGCAAGTTCAGGTTTCTGCAACTTTTAAATATCAGCATGCTCGTTTTCCTAAGTTGCATCAACATCTCCGTCACCTGTAATATGATCCCTCCTTAACCGCTTCGCATTTGTGGACAAATAAGTCATTTTTAGCGCGCTGAGCTGCGTCAGCGACCAGGCGCACGGGAAATCCTGGAGAATCAATACCCGTCTCTTCCGCCATCTTGGAACTACCGCCCCGCCACCTATGTGGCGGTGGAGTTGCGAACGCTTTAGAGTGACGACACTCCATTCATCTCGGTGCTTAAAATCACGATGGCCAGTTATCTGAAGCCTTATCTTAAACCGCAGGAAACGCTTTTCCGTCCTCCAGACATGTTAAAACAGTTCGCCACAGAGCAAAACGATATCACCTGAGCTTCCTAACACCTCATCGAAAACTGAGGATGTCGCGTATTTTGAATTGTGGCGATCGGCATTTGCGTTTGCTCTGCTCTAAGCACCAAGATGGCGGCGCCCACTAGCAGATAGGAGAACGGAGTGCCCATACTCTAGCGTAGCTCATGTAGTGGCTCTATAGGGTACCAGACGCGTATTTGAAACCCGGGGGAGGTCAGCATGCACGTGCTTCAGCCATTCCCAAAGCGCACTCTCGGAACGACGCTTCTCTGGCTTTCGCCGGCCATCCGTCATTGTTGACATTCGTCGGATGTTTCTGTAGGACGCTGAACCTGGCAAGAATCTTACATTTTGTTTCCCTTGAAGTGTAAGCATAGAAAAAGCTACAAGAGCGAGCTTCGGGTTTTCAGCGTCCCTGCCAAGCACGCGCGCTCGTGCAGTGCAAGCACTGTTCAGGGCCTCACGCTCGCGCTTGTAGCATCGGCTGAAACGAAGTAGAGATGACGATACCGATGTATAAAAAAAAAACGCTTTTTAAAAAAATAATTGTTTGCTGAAGCACCGCCGAGATTGAGAGGAAAACTCGTCTCCCCCCACTCGATCTCGTTGTATTCGAGATAACGCTGGCGATTTCACCACTCCGGATGTTGGTCACTTATTTTAGCTACTGAAGTAAATCTTGCTTTTTCTAATCCCAGTCAACATGAGCAGAATTTTGTTCACTACACAGATATTCATCATAAGCATCAACATGTCACTTTCGGCGAGGAATTTTTAACGTGAAACGTTCTTTCGCCAGACGTTCAGCATTTCGTGAAACGCAAAAGTGAAGCCCGGATAAAAGCGTGGCCGCGAGGCTCAATACGGATTGGTATAAAGTAAAAAGAAGGGGCAGTCGCAAAAAAAAAATCGTTTGGGACAGGCGGGAATTGAGCCCAAACCATGTCGATTATGAATCGAGTGTCTCTCCAGTTTCTCCCATCATAGCCGGTCTTCAGAGTGGCACGACGCATCGCCGCGAGCTGAGGCGCTATTTGGTGAGAAAGCCCTGCGGGGCATCCGCTCCACGTCCGGCAGATGGCAACTTGACACCCTGTCGGACGTCTTCTTTTTTTTTTTTCTTTTAAACATGGGTTAGCGCCGGTATCTCCATTCCAGGAATTGCTATCGAGTGTGTACATGCCACGCGTTAAGCCAGTCGTTAAACTAATCGATGAAGAGCGCCGAGAGCGTATAGGCGCCACATTTTTCACGTGCAACACAATTGCCCAACGATTTTATATGCTTTTTTTTAGCTATGTCTTACTTTAGAAGCTCACCGATACATCGTTTTTACAATCCCATCGAGCAACATTGGAGGTCGCCATTGCTGCTTACGCTTGGTGGCGCAAGTTACCGCCCCTTTCAAAGGGTATAGCCATTAACATCCGTCCATCCATGCATCGGACAGGACGCGTGTGATTGGATCCGAGTTCACGCCTAACGCTTGCGCAGCCCTCGTGTCCAATACGAGCTATTGGCGACTCCAGCGAAATCGACGCCGCGTAGCGGCAACGCCGAGGAGCTCATGAGAGGAGATCGCTTAGACTCTGTCGTCTGCCATCGCTACTTGGTTCTGGTGGGTAGCATAGAAACAAACATCGGCTCCAGCCATTATTTTTATGCTTCCGCCATGTCATTCCTACGCACAAACTAGAAGAAAGTTTCTACCGTCGAAAAATCGCTTTGCTTTCATATGTAACACCACTTTTACGCTGCAGTCCAAGAAATTTATGGTGGTCAGCGTACTGAACGACGAAAAAGACCTCCTTTCGTCCGCCATTTTGCCTGACCAGCGCGCCCCTTATAGTCGCGAATAGGATCGCGTGCCCAAACAATGGCGAATTTGGATGATTGGCTCTGCAGCTTCTAGACGGACCGCCGGCACTTTGAAAAGGGTCTATTGACACCGTGTGAGAACATGCGCAACAAATGCCGATGAGGTGTACGTGGCAACGTGGTAAACATGCGACGATTAAAGGTGATCGAGCCAATACAAGTTAAAGCATTTGATTAGCATTGTCTCTTGTCGAATAAAGCACGTTGAGCTCACACATCCCGGATCAGTGTTGGCAGCAACGCGTTACAGGTAAAGGCGTTACCGGTAGCGCGCGTTACCGTTACTCGTTACATTCTCTTTTTCTCAAAATTTCAGAAAATGACGCATCAAATCCCCCCCCCCCCCCCTTCCCATGTTTTGAGGCGCTAAGTTGTGAATTCTTCACTAAATCCCACATACCTTCACAATCAGAACCGTAAAGCCGGAATAACAGAGCTCATACGTCATAAAAAAAAAAAAAAAAAAAAACAGTCTGCAAGCACGAGTCATCGCAGTAGCCGTGGTTCGAATGCCGCGTGCCAAGTTTCCTCTTCGAACTCACTGCCATGCGACATTCGAAGCCCGGATCTCGCGAAGACTCGCGTTCGAATCTGTATGCAGGCTGTCGTTTGTATGATGTATAAACAGTGTGATCCCGGCTTCAAAAAAAGAAAAAGTCAATATGTTAAGTTTTTGCACGAACATAATATAATGTTTCTTAATACAGTGGGCTTATGCATAGCTGTAACGTCAAAGCAACAAAACGTAATTCATGAATAAAAAGTATTGCAAAAGTAACCTGCATTACTTCTTGTCGGTAATGGTAACGCCTTTCTTTAATTTGCATGTAACAAGTAACATATTTCGTTACTTTATTTTTATACTCCTAAAGCACTGCCACTGCTTCTGGCCCTAAATATGCTATACATTGTATTGCCGTAACGGATCGAAAAGGAGGGGGAGGGGGGGGGGGGTATTGCATATTTCATACTTTCGAAATGGTCTATGCAGCTCACGTGCTGACCGCGTCTCGAATTACATTTTTCTACATTTTGTTCGTAGAAAATTAAAGTAATTTTGTTGCGTGCATGTTCAGGCAGCGCCTTTAGTTTGCTGGTGCCTCTGTACTGTAGATGAGAAATTTCGGCAGTAATGTGCCCCTGCTAGCCTGGGGCCTTAAACGTGCATCTCGCAGTAGTGATACACGACCGCACGCCGGTACGAAACGGGATGGAGTGGGGATTGAACCCAAGGGTCCTTGAGAACATTGCAGAGGAATGATAAGAGATATAGAAGGGAAAAAAATGCATATATATTTTCTATGTTCCTTAATTGTTGTTCACCTCAGGGCACGCTTTCGACATTACCTCTTTGATGACGTGCTGTGATCTACACCCTAAAAAATAAAGGGTACTACTATCTTACACCCCTTTGTCCCATATAATGCACCCCAAAACTTCAACCTACAGTTCACTGACTCCAAACAGACGGCCCCAGCTTTTACGAGAGGCTTAGTAACGGTGCGATATAACTAATAGAACAGCTAAAATACGTATCAGACTACAAAACAAAAAGTGATCTTTTGCAGTAAGGCCAAGGAAACCCCCATTATTATTATTTTTGTGTAGTCAATAACACGTAGATTACCTATTTTATTAGCTGTACCACTCGGCTTCATGACGTTCGTGAAAACTCGTCGGTTCGAAGTCAGCGCGCTGTGCGTCGAACGGAGGTTTTGGGGTGTCTTCTATAGGACAAATGGTGTAAAAATATACCATTTTTTTTCTGAGAGTGTAACCAACCAATAGGTTTCAGGTAGTGTGTACTAAAGCTGGAACTTAAGGAAAAGCGAACCGAACGGAGGATCTTGCGGAGAACGAGACAAACTTACATGATCCAAAATGCAGAACGCCCGCAAGCAGCAGCCACACCTGTCGCCTCATTTCGAGCTGTGTTCCGATTCTCGTGAACGTCTAGAGAAAACTTCGGCCACCCACCCGGCGGTAAAAAAAAGACGCCGATGGTGAACGTCGAGTGCTCAATGTTCGACGAAATCCACCCACCGCGTAGAGAAGTCGCCGATAAGGCGAACGCGATTCCCGACTATCGCGAAAAAAAACCCGCCGCACCCGAGAGAATCCAGCTATCCGATCATAACGCCATTGTTCTGCGCTGTCTTATCATTGTTCGGAGCCGTTGCATGCCGATTACCCATAGTTCCTTATCTTTCATAGGTATACACGCGGAGTATACGTACCTCCGAATGATGTACCTCGTGGGTGCTCACCGGCGTTATCTGATATTTTGGGTAAGCACCGACGGCATCGCATAATTGGTGTGGCGCAAGGGAGCGGTTTCTGAATGAATGAGGGCGGGGGGGGGGGGGGGGGGGGGGGGGGGGGATTCGATGTTTGGGGACGAAGACACGATCGCGTGCCGACGCCTTTATACTCACAAAGCCAGGCAGTTCGACGACGGAATCATAGAGTGCCCTGTCGCAGATATGGGGCGCGTGGATCTGGTAGCACAGAGAATCAAGGAGCCATTTCTCGGGGAAGCTGGACGTCAGCGCAAAGCTTTTGCAGCAGCGAGGACCCGAAACACACTTGTTCGCTCTGGAGAAGTGTGTTTCGGCGTCTCGCCGCAGCGGAGCGCCAGTCACGTGGCACTTCTCTCATCCGCTGTCTGTTGATCCACCTTTTCCATTTCGGCGGACGCTTCTCGTGGCGATCTGCCAGACTTTGTCAGTGTACGGGAGGCTATGGCTAGAGTTACTCACAGCTTAGCAAACGTATAGGGTGTGGCGAGTCCAGTGACCGTCTCATCCAATAGCTCAGCGGCCAATGAAGTTGCGGCATTAGCCGACCAGAACACAGAGGAGCCAATCACAAAGCAAGATGCATTAACATAATAAGCAACGCCCCGCGTTTTTTGACGCGAAACGTTCTTTGGTTACAGTTGCTGCGGGTTTCATAAAGCCGCATTTCGTGAGGACGTGGCCTGTGACGTCACATGACTTCAGTTTCCCCGCTAGATTTTCCACTCTTGCACCGCGTATAAAAAGGCGATGCAAACGGGGCCCGATAACGCTATCCCGTTTCGCTCTTAAAGGCGAAGCTTAAGCGCCCTCCAAGTTTTGCTCCGCTTTTAAACGATTTTTCGCTGAGAGGGAGGAACCACCAGCTGCTTGCGTCTTCGGAAAAAGCTTATGACGTAGGCCCCAGGACACGGCCTATCTCTTAGTCCGCTGGCTGTTAATCGAGAATTAATGAAAAACCGAGCGTGTTGGTAAGGTTCGCTTTACACACGAAGTAAGAAACAAATAGGACGGATCGCGGAACACGACATCTTTCAGCTATAGAAACAAACAAGAATAAACCAAGACCGCCTCACAAAGGTGTCAACAAATTCTGAAAGGAGGGGGATGAGAGATGTTGAATGAAAGAAAAATGTCAGACGAGAGAAGAGATAAAACTAAAATACATTAATTTCGTATTCGGAAACCTTGCCGAAAAGCCCAGTTTAACTTTTTACTATTTGGATTATGGAACTTGAAACCTATAACTAGAATTGTTTGTGGTAACCTGAAATCCCGATTGCATACAAAATAATAATTTATAATTGTGTTGTGTCTACGTTCATGCAGCCGGAAGTTAGTTAGCCCTAATGCGCGTCTGGTGTCTCGGCTGAGATGAGCAATTTAGCCATGTGCAGTACAACCGCTAGCCTGGGGTCTTTAACGTGCATTATGCAGTAATGGTACACCACCGCAAGCCGGTAGGATGCTCGTGCAGGTAGAAACGGGCATGGGTGGGGATTGAACCTAGGATCCCGGGTTTCTGAAAATCTGAAATCCAGATAGCGAAAAGTTATACTAGCTGGGTTCAGGTTTAATAAATTCAACATCTGTCTTCGTCAGTGAGGGTGATCGAGCAGACATATTGCTGCAAACCACACCCATTACAAATGACTTAGTGAGTTCTCTCCCAAATCTACTCTTGCGCTTCCGGGGAATTCTGGTATAGCCAAAGCAAGGTGTGCAGTCATCACACGTGTAGCCATGAACAACGATGGGGTGAAAGGACTCTTCGGGGGCCTTTGACGCCTCCAGATTATATTCCCCGAGTCGGTGGTTGACACATCGGCCTGTTTGACCGATGTACTGGCTCCCGCAGCTCAGAAAAATCCAGTAAGCCTTCTTACTTCACATTTAAGAAACTTGTTGGTGTGTGGCCCTAAGCCCTTTTGGAACGTCGATCATATTGGCATTTGGCACATTTGTACGAGGCGCATGCAGCAGGAAAACGAACGGCCCGTGCCGGACTTAGCAGCGAGAGCTATTAAACGATGAGCAGAGTTGTGCGTATAGAGGATCGCCGCAAAACGGCCCCTCTCTTTCGAAACGGGCCGCTGAAGTCCTCGCCTGAGACTGCATCTCTCAGGGGTGGAACAGAGGAGGTCGGCTGGAAACCCTTCTTGGACAAGCCTCTGTGACTGGTTCTGGAAACTACTTTCAAAAAATTGAGAACACGATCTTACAAAAGAGGACTTGAAGAGTGTCTTGATGATACCGTGTTTGACTGACTTACAGAATGAGCTCTAGAAAAGAGAAGGACGGGCTTTACTTATATTTGCTGTAAGGCCCAACACAGACCAGAAGGTTGGGGATGCAGACGTACATCTCGGAATTCTAAACCCTCCTTTGATGGAAATTTCCTCGTGAAGGTAAGGTATTCAGCATACCTTACCTTACTTTATGTATTTTAAGGTATTCAGCATACCTTAAAATACGTAATAGTTGCTAATGAGGAGTTTAGGTGCTAGACTATAATGCAGGTCCTCAATGTTGAAAGACGTTACTGAGTGGCGGCGTGTAAACTGAATGAGGCGTGCTGAAACGAGGAATCAGTTCAGGAGAATTAGAACTCCTGAAAGGTCGAGGGAGGTCGATGTCAGAAAGATGTTTTTGTAGATAAAGACCGAGTGGTAAAGACCCCAATTATTATACAATGCATCTGAAGGGTGCACTATCTTTTTGAACCTGATCTCTTGAGTGACGTCAAGTTCAAAGTGGAAAACAAAATGCTTTCCGTTCAAGCGCAAGAAACCCCAAGACAATAAGTTTCTTTAAAAGGTACGTCCACCTTATCTGCATAAGAGCCCTCCTCCCAAATAACAGACATTCGCCTTGTCAGCTTTAACCGCTTGAGGTGTTTGTGACGCAGTTCTTGCACATCAGCACAATTCGGGGATTTGCCTGGCTTACGGGGTGAATGGTGACAAACTGTTCGCACAGCTGAACCCAAGAAGTCCTGACGTTGATGTTCTGTAATCGACGCTGCAACTTGATGCACTGAAGTATATTTAGTTGGTCTACCTTTGACGAGGGAAGATACGGACAAACTTAGGACCTCTCGAAAGCATTTCCACTTTGTCGGTTTAGAGTTTAATGTAAGAGTGTAAAACCGGGGAGTCAAACATAGTCTGTTTTAGCTTGAGGCAGGACGCGTTCACCTCTGCGATGCCCCTCTTTCACGGTGGTTCAGGGAGGCGAGAAGCTGCGTCCAAAAGGAATCCGTACTCCGGTAGGGAGCTGAAGCCTCACCCGAAGATTATTTCCGTTTTATTGGGGGCACTCTGCCCATCACTCGAAGTTCAACGAATATCTCTTTCCTCGAAATGCGGATGATCCGGTAGCAAGACGCCCACTTGTTGGATTGGAACCCAAACGCAAGCTCAACACCAGGATGAGGCGAATCCGCGCGGAGGTAGAGGGAAAGATGTCGTGTTCTGTGCTCTATTCTACCTGTTTATTCTTTCGAGTGTAAATTGTCAATCAAGGCCTCCGCGGCTGTTGCTCCTTTCGAAAACCTCCCGAAAACAAGACGAGGAGACTTCCCGCGCGTTTGACGACTCACTGACGTCAAGAAAGTCGGGCTGTTTCGCGCACGCGTCAGCGTGATTGGTGTTTTTACCTATACGAAAGAAAAATCGAACACGATTGTTTTTCTGTGCGCGGCACAAACTACGTCCCTCGTGGTCACGATTTGACACGTGTTCTCACTTTCGTGGTGCTGTATAGGGAGTATTCACTGGCGGCCATAGCTGTGTGCGCGACTGCTGAGCGAAGGGCGAGCTTCCACAGTTCTTTTGCAACCTGCATTGCACACCATCAAGATTGGCCATCTCAGCAGCCTATTAATGTGAGCTCGTTCTGAGCATGCGCTCTAAACAGCACCCACAAATATGGCGTCCAGTGAATACTCCCCATTCTGTTACATGTGGCTTGCACGTGACCCCATGACATTGTGCTGGGGATCTTCCTACTTGTCCTTTACGAGAAAAACAAAATTCCGTGATACGATACTGCTGCCGAAAGTACCCGCTCAGCGGCAAGGCCGCCACAATGGCAGCTGGTGTGACGTCAGTGCAAGCCATGTATAGGCCGTATTCACTGGCGGCCATAGCCGTGTCCTCGGCGTTTCAGTGCTGATAGCGATCGTTCGCCAGATTCCTTTCGCACCGTCCACACTATTGTCTGTATGGCAGGTGATAAGTTGTTTTTACCCACAGCTCGGGCTGGTGATGTGTGAATACTTCCTCTTCGCAACGCCAGCAAACGAACGGCACCTAGCGGGAAAACACCGAGCTGGCCGGAACAAGTCCTTTCGCGATTTCTGATCGTCTAGCTCTTGTGACTTCCGTGACTACGTGTCGTCGGCGGTTGGCGCAATGGCCACCGAAGCGCAGCGAGGGAAGAAGCATTGGTTTTGTCCACAGGTCCACGTCCGGACGCAGCCCACGCTACGAGCTAATTCGACCAATCAGTGTGAAACGCGCAAGTCACTGGGCTTTTCCTCTACATGACTGGTTTAGCGACGATAAAAACACGCACAAAAACGTGACAAACGCCATGACGGTGCGCTTTTGACGCTGTGTGATTAGTCCCGTCTGCTCCTAGCATCGGCTGCGTGTAGACTTAAGCTGAGACGTTTTCCGAGTGAGGGAGCGTGTTTCGGAAAGAGGATTGCCGTCATCGCACTGACTGGTCGCGAGCGCGAACCCGAATATGCAGGAGCTCAAACGAAGCAATGACGCAATGTCCGCATTCGATCCGTGA